GTGGTACTGTGTCACGGTGAGTGGTACTGTGTCACGGTGTCACGGTGAGTGGTACTGTGTCACGGTGAGTGGTACTGTGTCACGGTGAGTGGTACTGTGTCACGGTGTCACGGTGAGTGGTACTGTGTCACGGTGTCACGGTGTCACGGTGAGTGGTACTGTGTCACGGTGAGTGGTACTGTGTCACGGTGAGTGGTACTGTGTCACGGTGTCACGGTGAGTGGTACTGTGTCACGGTGAGTGGTACTGTGTCACGGTGAGTGGTACTGTGTCACGGTGTCACGGTGAGTGGTACTGTGTCACGGTGTCACGGTGTCACGGCGAGTGGTACTGTGTCACGGTGAGTGGTACTGTGTCACGGTGTCTCGGTGTCACGGTGTCACGGTGAGTGGTACTGTGTCACGGTGAGTGGTAGTGTCACGGTGTCACGGTGTCACGGTGAGTGTCACGGTGAGTGTCACGGTGAGTGTCACGGTGAGTGTCACGGTGTCACGGTGAGTGGTACTGTGTCACGGTGAGTGGTATTGTGTCACGGTGTCACGGTGTCACGGCGAGTGGTACTGTGTCACGGTGTCACGGTGAGTGGTACTGTGTCACGGTGTCACGGTGAGTGGTACCGTGTCACGGTGTTACGGTGAGTGTCACGGTGAGTGGTACTGTGTCACGGTGAGTGGCACGGTGTCACGGTGTCACGGCGAGTGGTACTGTGTCACGGTGAGTGGTACTGTGTCACGGTGAGTGGCACGGTGTCACGGTGTCACGGTGAGTGGTACTGTGTCACGGTGTCACGGTGAGTGGTACCGTGTCACGGTGTTACGGTGAGTGTCACGGTGAGTGGTACTGTGTCACGGTGAGTGGTACTGTGTCACGGTGAGTGGCACGGTGTCACGGTGTCACGGCGAGTGGTACTGTGTCACGGTGAGTGGCACGGTGTCACGGCGAGTGGTACTGTGTCACGGTGAGTGGTACTGTGTCACGGTGAGTGGCACGGTGTCACGGTGTCACGGTGAGTGGTACTGTGTCACGGTGTCACGGTGAGTGGTACTGTGTCACGGTGAGTGTCACGGTGAGTGTCACGGTGAGTGTCACGGTGAGTGTCACGGTGTCACAGCGGCCAAATGTTGACTACCTCGCCTGGTATACAGGAGGAGGTTCGTGGGTTCGACCCTGCCGACGCCTGCCGTTGTATATTTGGAGTTTGCGATCTCTCTATCTCTGCATCCCCGTGGAAATTCCTCCGGGTCCTCCCGATTTCCACCCTCCCCCCCGCCACCACATTGTTGAATCACCATCACACGGCGTTTAGAGGATTTGGCTATCTGCTATGAATGTCCACGTGATGATGATGACGACGACGACAGAGCCACTCTACATTTGCGATGGCCAGGTCCGCCTCTGAACAAACAAAACAAGTTACACAGCTCAGTGGGACCTTCACCTGGTTAAAAAAAAGTTTAAGTTCCATCAATCGAGCATCTGGATTCGGGGCCAAGCAGGGCCAGGCGCTCTTCATGCGTTCGCCCCGTGCGTGACGTCACCCCCCACACCACCCCACTCGAGCCAGATTCAGAGGCACGCACGGCTCGGTTCCGGCTCGGTTCCGGCCCGGTTCCGGCTCGGTTCCGGCTCGGTTCCGGCCCGGTTCCGGCCCGGTTCCGGCAGACAATGAGTGGGCGAGTGAGATTTAGAATGGATGTCACGCGTTTGTGGGAGTATTTGCGCTAGCAATATGATTTTCCACGTGACGACGACGACATCGATATCAGCCACCTCGCTGAAGCTGTAACCTGCGATGGCCAGGAGCTAAATAGTGGCTCAAGCGGGGCCTTGACCTGGTTAAAAATAATCACGAAAAAATTCACCCGTACCCGTGCTGGCTCGGCTCGCATGTGGCCCGGTGGGGGTGGAATAACACGGCACAGGTTGTGCGCAGTTGGAATCTTCCAAACAACGCACTCCCCCGTAAACAAATGGAACACTCCAACATTACAGCGACAAATAACTCTTGCTAATGGGGAGGGAGGGGGGGTGTTCGGAATGTCCCACTTGTTTGAAGGGAGGGGGGGTGAAAGTGAATTTAAAACGAATACGAATTGACCCCCCCAACCCCCTTTGGAATGGTAGAGCCGCCGTGAACAATGACGACCGTACAATTGTCTCGGGAATTTGAAAACTCTCCTCCCCACAAACGCGTTGGGGGGGGGGTTCGTGAGAAAATAAATTCCTTCGCTTGTAAACATCCAAACAAATCCCGCTCCGATTCATCGTCAACTCCAGCCAGCAGCAGCAACAACAACAAACAACAACAAAGTTCCGCCCTCCCACCATCCCCACTGTGTTCCACACACCGCGATACACACTACACCACACACTACACACCGCTATACACACACACACCGCGATACACACACACACACTACACCACACACACACCGCGATACACACACACACTACACCACACACACACCGCCATACACACACACTACACCACACACACACCGCTATACACACACACACACTACACCACACACACACTACACCACACACACACCGCTATACACAGACACACACTACACCACACCACTACACCTCACCACACACACTACACCACACCACACACACACAACACACTACACCACACCACACACACACAACACACTACACCACACCACACCCCACACCAGGAACTCGTTGCCTGTCGTGGTTTTTTTCGGCGGCCGGCGAGGACGGAACCGGCGAGGCCCGCGTGGTAACAGCAGCGGCCCACCGCTCCTCATCCTTCATCGTCAACGTCACCATCGTGTTGTTACGACTTGCAACGCACCACAACACTCAGAGCCAGCACGGTACAGCTCGGGGTTTTTTTTCCCCATTGGCTGTATACCAAGCCGAGCCCAGCAGGGCCGGCCGGGGGGGGGCGGGGCAGGCGCTCACTGTGACGCGTTTCGCCATTCCCGAGTTCCGATTGGTTGGCGTCGACACGCGTCGTCACGCCGCGACCGGTGGTTGGACCAATGGGGGAAGAGGGGGGAGGGGAAATCGCCATGGCAACGTTTCCGCCATCGCGTCGACGGTCGTCGTCGCCATTACACAAACGAACATCGATCGCACGACAAAATAAAAAAAATACTCACGAGAACAAACTCCGTACGGAGTGACGACGTCACTGAAAGGGGGGAGAGAGAGAGAGAGAGCTGTGGTAAAAAAAATTTTTTACACAACTCGTAACAAAACCAAAACTTCAAGCTTTAAAAGTATCAGGGGGAAAGGGGGGTAAGGGGGGTGTCGGAGAATCCCACATCGCCACATCTCACGGGGGCGTCCCCGCATTTCACCGCACTCCTGCCGCCTTGGGCTTTGCCTCTCGACTCTACGAAGGGATGCGGCGGGGGGGGAGAGGGTCCCTCTGTTGTCGACTCGGTTACGGGGAATTCTACCGTGACACACCACCGGGGTTTGGCGGGGATCGGTTATGTCGGAGCGAGTCCAAAATCGGTAACTGGTGGGGGGGGAGGGGGGCGGAGGGGGGGAGTCCCCCCCGGCGAATTCGCTTGCCGATCGCTCGACCGCTCCCCGTCAAACTCGGCGAGGCCACGGGGCCCCCGGAGGAGCGCGGTAACGACGGCCACCACTGGCGGACGAGCGAATTTGTTCGGCTGTGCCGTCGTCCGTCGGTCGGTGGAGGGGGGTTTCAAACCCCCCCCCCCCACCACACCACCACACCACCACCACCACCACCCTGCCCCCCCCCACCGTGCAGCCCGTAACAGACCGCTGCTGAGGCAAGGGTGCTGCTAGCGAACAGCGGCAGCAGCGCTTATGAAGGCCGGCGAACGAAGTTGGCTGCGTGGGAAAAGCACCGACGCTCGGCCGCCTTTGTCTCCCCTACCGTCGATGCTGACTACGCACCGCGCCCGGTAGTCGTTTGATGCCGAGTCGACCTGGGGGGGGGGGTGGGGCCCCCCGGGGGTGGGGCCCCCCAGGACCGCTTCTGACGATCGCCCATCACCGGTGTTGCCGGTGGCCGCGAGAGCGGGGAACTGAACTCGGGGTTCCCCGCTGCCGGATTCGTGGCGGCAGCGCGCGCCGACCGCTGCGCCACCGCTCCCCCAACGCCGCCGCCGCCGCCACCACCACACGGCGACCCAGCCCGTTGAAGACTCAACCGCACCGGACCCACCGCCCACGCTGCTGCTGCTGCTGGGCGCACAGAGGCGGGCGGGCGACGGCGGAGAGAGGGTTGAGAAACTCCGCCACACCCGTCGTGTTTTAACCGCCGCGCCGGGAGATTGGAAATGAACCGGTAGTGACCTCTGGCTTCGGGAGTGCGGTGCACCGACCCGCTACACCACCACCACCGTGGAAACAACCCTCTGTTTGAAGTCTACGGGTCTCTGTGCGACATGGATCTCAAAGTCTGTGTGTCTCGGTGTGAGTCTACGGGTCTCTGTGCGAGTCTACGGGTCTCTGTGCGAGTCTACGCGTCTCTGTGCGAGTCTACGCGTCTCTGTGCGAGTCTACGCGTCTCTGTGGGAGTCTACGCGTCTCTGTGCGAGTCTACGGGTCTCTGTGCGAGTCTATGGGTCTCTGTGCGAGTCTACGCGTCTCTGTGCGAGTCTACGGGTCTCTGTGCGAGTCTACGGGTCTCTGTGCGAGTCTACGGGTCTCTGTGCGAGTCTACGGGTCTCTGTGCGAGTCTATGGGTCTCTGTGTGAGTCTATGGGTCTCTGTGCGAGTCTATGGGTCTCTGTGCGAGTCTACGGGTCTCTGTGCGAGTCTACGCGTCTCTGTGCGAGTCTACGCGTCTCTGTGCGAGTCTACGCGTCTCTGTGCGAGTCTACGGGTCTCTGTGCGAGTCTACGCGTCTCTGTGCGAGTCTACGGGTCTCTGTGTGCGAGTCTATTATGGATCTCGACGAGAGTCCGGACTTGCGTGAGACACGTGGTGGTGGGTTTGTTTAAAGAGAACACGAACGACACAGAAACAGGACCACCGACGGAATCGTTTGGACACGTTTATCTCAACCTCACAGCCGCCGGTTTGCCGTGACGCGGCGGGAACGCGGTGAATATTTACCGGGGGGGAATAAAATTAAAAATAAAACAAAAATGGTGGCAATGGTGTGGTCACGTCAAGCGGAACGGCGAGCAGTTCGGCGTCAGTCGAGGGAAAACCCCGCGTGCCCGTCGCCGTCAAAACGCCGGGCGGAATCGACGCTCGGTCGGAAAGAGGTCTCCCCGTCCACCGCTGCCAAGGCAACCGGTTCGCGAGGGTTGGTCGCTAGGCAACCGGCCGCGCAGGCCTCTAGGCAACCGGCCGAGCAGGTCGCGAGGCAACCGGCCGAGCAGGTCGCTAGGCAACCGGCCGCGCAGGTCGCTAGGCAACCGGCCGAGCAGGCTGCGAGGCAACCGGCCGCGCAGGTCGCTAGGCAACCGGCCGCGCAGGTCGCGAGGCAACCGGCCGCGCGGGTCGCTAGGCAACCGGCCGCGCGGGTCGCGAGGCAACCGGCCGCGCAGGTCGCTAGGCAACCGGCCGCGCAGGTCGCTAGGCAACCGGCCGCGCAGGTCGCTAGGCAACCAGGCGAGCGGGAGAGAGCGCGATCGGTGCGGTTGCACACGGCCGCTGGGGTCTCGGTCTTTATAAAAATAACACACGGACGACATCACCAAGGCGACACCATCGCTGCTCCTGGACCGCAGCTCCTCACCAACGACTTCCGACATTGGGGGGCGGGGCGGGGGAGGGAGGGAGGGGGAGTACATTCCCGAAAGGAAAACAAAAGTGCCCTGGTGATGGCCAACACAAACTGGATGGCGATGCTGCACCAACGCCGACAGATACAGTAGCAAAAATCGGGGGTGGAGTGGGGGGGGGGATGTGGCGGAAGGGGGGGGGGGGGCCCGTGGGTGGTTTGCGTCTAGGCCGTCCATGGCCTACCCTGGAGGGGCGGGGGGGGGGGGGGCCCCCCCCCGAGGCTGTATGACGTCGCCAGGCCGGAGCGAGGCCCCCCCACCCCGCCGCCCCGTTTTGCGCTTTGCCCGTGGCTCAAACGGAGCCGAATCTCTCAATGGAGCCGGCAGCGGTGTTGACACTTAAAGTCGCACTGGGCCGTGTGTCAGGCCACAGTGGCCAACATTAGGCCACTGAGGCCCACGTTAGGCCACAGCGAACCCACGTTAGCTCGCTCCGACCTACAGCGAGCCGCCAATTAGGCCACGGTCGCCCCCCCCCCCCCCCACCGCACAAACAGGCCACAGCGACCCAACAACAACGGTCGGGCCACTTGCCAAGCTCCCGGCGTTTAGGGCCACCCACCCCCCCCCCCCCCCCCCCAAACGATTATCATCTCGCTCCGACCCACCACGGCGAGCACGAGGGGAGACGGCGGTGACCCGGCGATAGGGCACGGCGATGGCCTACAGAGAGGCCTACAGAGTGGCCCCACCAACCCCCCCCCCCCAAACCCCACCGCCAACCACTCCGTGCCCGCCCTCACCCCGGGCCAATCAACGTTTAGGCCCGTGGCTCCGTCACAATCACAGCAGAATGGGCTCCTGTTGAGAGCCGTCCCCCGTCTGGGGCACGACACCGGAGGACGAGCCGGGCATAGCGCCGCCAACACCGATACCGCCACGCTGCTGCTGCTGCTGCTGCTGCTGCAGGAGGCCGTGAAGGCCGCCCATGTGCGGCCTGTAGCCCGCGGCGGCCTGCATGGTGAGCAGCTGCTGCTGGTGCTGCTGCTGCTGCTGCTGCAGCATGGCTTGCGCCTGGAGCTGCGCGGTCTGCTGGGCCAGGCTCTGGTAGGCCTGAAAGATCTGGTGGGTGGGTGGGGGGGGGGGGTGGTCGGAGAGAGGGTGAGTACACGCGTGTGTATACACGTGTGTGTGTGTGTATACACGTGTGTGTGTACTCAGTGCACGTGCGTGTGTGTGTGTGTGTATGTGTGTGTACCCGGTGTACACGCGTGTGTGTGTGTACATGTGTGTGTGTGTGCACGTGGGTACACGTGTGTGTGCACGTGTGTGTATGTGTACATGTGTGTGTGGGGAGTGATAGTGTAGCGGTTAGCGCGCTGTGCTATGAACCCGGCGACCCGGGTTCGATTTCCACTGACGGCCAACACCAGTGACGATTATCTGAACCGGTCCTGGGCCTCCCCTAGGTCGACTCAAATGAGTGCCTGGTGCGATGTTTAAACATCGTCACTGGGAAGACAAAGGCGGTCGGGCGTTTTGCTGGCCACCCACCCCCTCGTGTGCCATTCCGGCCTTCACAGGTGCTGCTCGCTAACAGCACTTGCCCCTACAGCCTGTTAAGGCTACACGGGGGATATTTGTCTTTGTGTGTGTGTGTGTATACATGTGACGTCGTCCTCGTCGTCGTCCACGTACCATCTGGTGGCGCGCCAGCAGCTCCTGGTAGTTGGCCTCGAAGCGCCGCCGGTCGGCCTGCTGGTTACGCTGCACCAGCTGGCACACCTCCAGCACCTGGCTCTCGTTCAGCGTCGGGTTCGTGTTCCTCTACACGCCCGCCATTGACGCGCCACGCACGCACACACGCACGCACACACGCACACACACATGCACACACGCACACGCACACACACACGCACACACACACGCACACACGCACGCACACACGCACGCCAACACGCACACACGCACGGGCGCACGCACATGAGCACACACCTCCGATTAGCGCGGGTGGATACGTACGGTGTGAAAGAAAGTCAACGTACATATGTACGTGCACGCGCGCACACACACACAGCCACCGAGGCTCGCTGGACGCTATCGGTTTCCTTCCTTTTGCCAAACGAGAAAAGTTAAACCGCAAAAAAGAAATACTTCACTCATTTGGGATCGCACACGGTAGCAGCAGAAGCAGCAGCAGCAGCAGCAGCATCGCCTCCTCCACGCCCCCGCCCGCCTACTGCGGAATAACACCACGGGCCTGCGTCGGCGAGACAGCGGTGCCGTCCTGTTCAACGACTTCCCTTCGCCACGCAGGGGACGGCTGCCGCCGGGGGGCCGGGCCACTCGCAGACAAGCGGGGCCGCCTTCCCGCGCGACCCAAACGGCCCCCCCGAGCGCCGGAGGAACGACGGTGCTAAATTCCACGGCGTGTGGCAGCGTGCAGCGCGCCTACGGGTTTGGTGAACGCGCTCACTCGCGTGCGTCTGCTCGCGAGTGCGCGGCCAGCGGCGGTGGCGAGCCTCCGGCGAACCGAGAGTTCCATTCCCGCTCACGGCCAACACCGGCGACGGTTTTCTGAACCGGTTCCCCCCCGGGCCTCGCCCTAGGTCGGCTCGGCCCGAAAACATCGCCGCTGCTCGCCACCAACAGCACCTGGCCCGCAACGGGCGAGTGGTCAAGGCTACACGGTTTGGAGCGGGTACGGGACCCTTTGTCTGCGGCGCGGCAATAGCCGGGGGCTTACGAACGAGTCGACTCACCACCCTGCGCAGGATCTCCTCGGCCGAGTCGAGTTTGTTCTGCGCTAGGCGTGTGTGGGCGTCCGCGACCTGCGCCCGGCTCGTGTTCAGCATCTCCTAGCCGGGAGAGGCGCGGTGAGGGGGGAACAGGGATGCAGAGACACGCGCGGAGAGTGAGAGAGAGACACGGGGTGAGGGTACATGGACACGCACAGACACGGGAGGGGGTTGACAGGGTACGGAGACACGCGGAGAGACACGGTGAGGGGGGAAGTCGTGGTAATATAAATCGGCACGCCGTGCTAATCCCGCACCTCTGATTCGCACGGTTGGCTACATACGGTGCAAACGAAGTTTAACATACAGTATATACACATGCAGACACACGGAAACACGCAGAGATTCGTGTTCAGCATCTCCTGTGGAGACACTGGGACAGAGTACATAGACACAGAGACACAGACACGTGGAGACAGACACAAGAGATATACATAGGCAAACACATATACACAAAGATTAAGCCACACACACAGAGCCACACAGACCTGTGTTCGTGTGTGGTGAGCGGTAGTGTAATGGTTAGCGCACTGCGCGATGAACCTGGCAACCCGGGTTCGATTCCCGCTCACGGCCAACACCGGTCACGATTATCTGAATCGGTCTTGGGCCTCCCTTAGGTCGACTAAGCCTCAAATGAGTACCTGGTGCGTTGTGTAGTAAACATCGCCACTAGGGAGACAAAGGCGGCCGGGCGTGGTGTTGTCCACCCACCCCCTAGTGTGCCGTTCTGGCCTTCATAGGTGCTACTCGCTAACAGCACTTGTGTGTGTGTGTGTACACGTGGCCTCAAGGTGCACATAGCCTGGCACAAGCGTCGTGGTGACGTCACCGCCACTTAGTGGCGAATGGCGGTTGTTGTTGTTGTGTGTGTGTACATTCGTGTACATTCGTGTGCATGCGTGCGTACCTGTAGCTGCTGTGGGGAGGCGGTGAGCAGCGACTGGGCGTAGTCCATCCTCCACATGGCCAGGCTGGTCATGGAGTGGGCCGAGTTGACCTTCGCGTTCAGGTTCAGACCCTGCACGGAGCACGAGAGGGTCACGTGGGGGTTCGCTCACCAACACGCGAGCCTGTGGGTCTCTGTGCGAGTCTATGGGTCTCTGCGTGAATCAGTGGGGCTGTGTGCGAGTATGTGGGTCTTGTGTGTGAATCTACAGATTTCTGTATGAGTCTGTGGGTCTGTGTGTGAGTCTATGGGTCTCTGTGCGAGTCTATGGATCTGTGAGTTTACGGGGGTGAGGGTACATGGAATCAGTGGGTCTGTGTGCGAGTCTGTGGGTTTCTGTGCGATTCTACGGATCTCTGTGCGAGTCTATGGGTCTCTGCGTGAATCAGTGGGGCTGTGTGCGAGTATGTGGGTCTTGTGTGTGAATCTACAGATCTCTGTATGAGTCTGTGGGTCTGTGTGCGAGTCTATGGGTCTCTGTGCGAGTCTATGGATCTGTGAGTTTACGGGTCTGTTTGAGTCTCTGGGTCTCTGCGTGAATCAGTGGGTCTGTGTGCGAGTCTGTGGGTTTCTGTGCGATTCTACGGATCTCTGTGCGAGTCTATGGGTCTCTGCGTGAATCAGTGGGGCTGTGTGCGAGTATGTGGGTCTTGTGTGTGAATCTACAGATCTCTGTATGAGTCTGTGGGTCTGTGTGTGAGTCTGTGGGTTTCTGTGCAATTCTACGGATCTCTGTGCGAGTCTATGGGTCTTGTGCGTGGATCAGTGGGTCTGTGTGTGAGTATGTGAATTTCTGTGCGATTTTACGGATCTCTGTGCGAGTCTTGTGGGTCATCTGTGCGAGTCTTTAGGTCTCTCTGCGGGTCTCTGTGTGGGCCTGCGAGCCTCTGTGCGAGTCCACGGGTCTCTGTGCGAGTCCACGGAACTCTACGTGAGTCTACGTGTCTCCGTGCGAGCCTGTGGGCCTCTGTGCGAGTCTCCACGCTACTGTGCGGGTGTGTGTCTGCGTGCTACTGTGCGGGTGTGTGTCTGCGTGCTACTGTGCGGGTGTGTGTCTGCGTGCTACTGTGCGGGTGTGTGTCTGCGTGCTACTGTGCGGGTGTGTGTCTGCGTGCTACTGTGCGGGTGTGTGTCTGCGTGCTACTGTGCGGGTGTGTGTCTGCGTGCTACTGTGCGGGTGTGTGTCTGCGTGCTACTGTGCGGGTGTGTGTCTGCGTGCTACTGTGCGGGTGTGTGTCTGCGTGCTACTGTGCGGGTGTGTGTCTGCGTGCTACTGCGCGGGTGTGTGTCTGCGTGCTACTGCGCGGGTGTGTGTCTGCGTGCTACTGCGCGGGTGTGTGTCTGCGTGCTACTGCGCGGGTGTGTGTCTGCGTGCTACTGCGCGGGTGTGTGTCTGCGTGCTACTGCGCGGGTGTGTGTCTGCATGCTACTGCGCGGGTGTGTGTCTGCGTGCTACTGCGCGGGTGTGTGTCTGCGTGCTACTGTGCGGGTGTGTGTCTGCGTGCTACTGTGCTGGGTGTGTGTCTGCGTGCTACTGTGCGGGTGTGTGTCTGCGTGCTACTGTGCGGGTGTGTGTCTGCGTGCTACTGTGCGGGTGTGTGTCTGCGTGCTACTGTGCGGGTGTGTGTCTGCGTGCTACTGTGCGGGTGTGTGTCTGCGTGCTACTGTGCGGGTGTGTGTCTGCGTGCTACTGTGCGGGTGTGTGTCTGCGTGCTACTGTGCGGGTGTGTGTCTGCGTGCTACTGTGCGGGTGTGTGTCTGCGTGCTACTGTGCGGGTGTGTGTCTGCGTGCTACTGTGCGGGTGTGTGTCTGCGTGCTACTGTGCGGGTGTGTGTCTGCGTGCTACTGTGCGGGTGTGTGTCTGCGTGCTACTGTGCGGGTGTGTGTCTGCGTGCTACTGTGCGGGTGTGTGTCTGCGTGCTACTGTGCGGGTGTGTGTCTGCGTGCTACTGTGCGGGTGTGTGTCTGCGTGCTACTGTGCGGGTGTGTGTCTGCAGTGCTACTGTGCGGGTGTGTGTCTGCGTGCTACTGTGCGGGTGTGTGTCTGCGTGCTACTGTGCGGGTGTGTGTCTGCGTGCTACTGTGCGGGTGTGTGTCTGCGTGCTACTGTGCGGGTGTGTGTCTGCGTGCTACTGTGCGGGTGTGTGTCTGCGTGCTACTGTGCGGGTGTGTGTCTGCGTGCTACTGTGCGGGTGTGTGTCTGCGTGCTACTGTGCGGGTGTGTGTCTGCGTGCTACTGTGCGGGTGTGTGTCTGCGTGCTACTGTGCGGGTGTGTGTCTGCGTGCTACTGTGCGGGTGTGTGTCTGCGTGCTACTGTGCGGGTGTGTGTCTGCGTGCTACTGTGCGGGTGTGTGTCTGCGTGCTACTGTGCGGGTGTGTGTCTGCGTGCTACTGTGCGGGTGTGTGTCTGCGTGCTACTGTGCGGGTGTGTGTCTGCGTGCTACTGTGCGGGTGTGTGTCTGCGTGCTACTGTGCGGGTGTGTGTCTGCGTGCTACTGTGCGGGTGTGTGTCTGCGTGCTACTGTGCGGGTGTGTGTCTGCGTGCTACTGTGCGGGTGTGTGTCTGCGTGCTACTGTGCGGGTGTGTGTCTGCGTGCTACTGTGCGGGTGTGTGTCTGCGTGCTACTGTGCGGGTGTGTGTCTGCGTGCTACTGTGCGGGTGTGTGTCTGCGTGCTACTGTGCGGGTGTGTGTCTGCGTGCTACTGTGCGGGTGTGTGTCTGCGTGCTACTGTGCGGGTGTGTGTCTGCGTGCTACTGTGCGGGTGTGTGTCTGCGTGCTACTGTGCGGGTGTGTGTCTGCGTGCTACTGTGCGGGTGTGTGTCTGCGTGCTACTGTGCGGGTGTGTGTCTGCGTGCTACTGTGCGGGTGTGTGTCTGCGTGCTACTGTGCGGGTGTGTGTCTGCGTGCTACTGTGCGGGTGTGTGTCTGCGTGCTACTGTGCGGGTGTGTGTCTGCGTGCTACTGTGCGGGTGTGTGTCTGCGTGCTACTGTGCGGGTGTGTGTCTGCGTGCTACTGTGCGGGTGTGTGTCTGCGTGCTACTGTGCGGGTGTGTGTCTGCGTGCTACTGTGCGGGTGTGTGTCTGCGTGCTACTGTGCGGGTGTGTGTCTGCGTGCCCCACCCGGCACCTCACCTTCTTCTCGGCCTCGTACTCAGTCCAGGCGGCTTTGCGCTCCTCCTCCGTGAGCGCCTCCTCCTCCTTGTGGTCGAGCAGCGAGTCGTGCTCATGGTACTCCACAATCTGGTCCCGGTTGTTCTGCAGCATCTCCGCCAGGATCTTGTCCTGCGTGGCGGGGGCACGGGGTTGGCGCGGGGCCACAGAGCACCGTCATCGTCGCGGGCATCATCATCATCATCAGCAGCGTCGTGGGCATCATCATCATCATCAGCAGCGTCGTGGGCATCATCATCATCAGCAGCGTCGTGGGCATCATCATCATCAGCAGCGTCGTGGGCATCATCATCATCAGCAGCGTCGTCGTCATCATCATCATCAGCGGCAATAGCTGCAACTGCATCTTCATGAGCGCTGCCATCACCTTCACCACTACCGCCACCTTCACCACCACCACCACCAGCACCACCGCCACTGCTAGGTGACGGTGCAGCACCTTGGGCAGCCCCGGCGTGGGGCACTTCAACACCAACAACAAAACCACGTTTCACCACCATCACCACACACGTTTTCGCCATCATCATCACCACAGGGATCACCACCACCACCACAACCACGTTTCACCACCACCACCACCGCCGCGGCTATGCGACGGCACCTTGGGCAGCCGCGGCGTGGGGCGCTTCTTCTTCTTGTTGGGCTCGTCGAGGCGCTCCGGCTCGAAGGTGTAGAGCTCCGAGAGTTCGTTCATCGTGAAGTGACGCTCCACCTGCTGCTGGTCCACCACGCGGAACGACAGCGACTCCTTCGTCACCTGACGGTCATAGATCTTCTCCTCCATGGTGCCCTGACGGCGGGGAGTTTTGGGGGGGGGGGATGAGAGTCGTTCATTCATTAACCCATCCATTCCTTCGACCATTCATTCATCCATCCATTCCTTTGACCATTCATCCATCCATTCCTTCGACCATTCATTCATTCATCCATCCATCCATTCCTTCGACCATTCATTCATCCATCCATTCCTTTAACCATTCATTCATCCATCCATTCCTTCGACCATTCATTCATCCATCCATTCCTTCGACCATTCATTCATCCATCCATTCCTGCCGACCATCCATTCCTTCGACCATTCATTCATCCATCCATTCCTTCGACCATTCATCCATCCATTCCTTCGACCATTCATTCATCCATCCATTCCTTCGACCATTCATTCATCCATCCATCCCTTCGACCATTCATTCATCCATCCATTCCTTCGACCATTCATTCATCCATCCATCCATTCCTTCGACCATTCATTCATCCATCCATCCCTTCGGACATCCATTAATTCCCTCCGGTCATTCACCCATCGGTTCATTCCCCCGCCCTCCCCCCCACGACCGCTCCGGGTCCCCCCCCCACTCGCCGTACCTGCGCCAGGAAGCGGTAGACAAACACGGGCCGCGTCTGCCCAAAGCGGTAGACGCGGAAGATGCTCTGGATGTCGTAGGAGGGGTTCCACGAGGCGTCGAATACGATGACTCTGTTGGCGGCCACCAGGTTGATGCCCAGCGAGCCCGCCTTGGTGGAGATGAGGAAGAGGCGGCCCCTGTGGGAGCGGCGCGGGGACAGGGAGGGCCGCAGGGCGCTCGCACGGAGCTAAAAACTTCACCGAAAGGGCCAAAGAGTACGGACATTCCCTGCAGTCACGAAAAGCTTCAAATCAAGATTGGAGCTAAAACTGTTGAAGACGATTTGTTAAAAAAAAAAATTTTTACATAAAGTTTTAACTCAAGAAGGGGCCTCACACGTGACGTCATCGCATGTCTACAACTCCCCCCCCCCTCCCCCCCCTCGAAGCAGCAGCAGGAGGAGGATTGTAATTACTTGCGAAACATCGTACTCCACCAGAGTGCGAATGCGGTGGCTTTGCTCTCCAATGCACAACGGGCGGGTGCTGTACGAGTAACGAATTGGCCGCGTTCCGTTCACGCAGGCGAACCTCGCTAGTCGGCTGTGTCGGGTGGTGGCGGGTTTAACGACACAACACTTATATATTCACGCGACCTTACCCGAGAAGAAAACACCTGCATTGTGGTGGCAGGGCCAAGTCTGGGCCACGGGAGAGGGGTAGGGGTGGCGTTGGGAGTCGAGGAGTTTGCTGTTGTTTTGCGTTATTCAGCTAATTATCTTTAACAGGCGACACAGTTAAAAGGCCCCAAGATGTAACATATATATTAAAAAAATTGGCTCAAATAAAAACGGCCAGGTTGACATTGCGAGCGAGCGAGTGAACGAGAAGGCCCCCCCCCCCCCCCCCCGCCCCACACACGGGGGGGGTGGTGGTGGTGACCTTAGGCCTGCCGCGGTGCGGTTTGACGATTCGTTCGTCGAGCGAAGGTTCCCCGGCGATTCCCATCATCGGTTCCAGGCACCTCTCCACGAACCTCCCCCTCCCGCTACTACAGTACGACTACTTTGATTTTATATCAGGTGAGGCCCGACTGAGCTACGCAGCTCTTTTTCAGAAGCCGCCCTGGCGATCACAAATGACAACGCAACTAAGTGGCTTGTCATCATCACCGTCGTCACGTGGCGATTTAGAACAGCAGCAGCCATTATCACTCTGGACGCGTGAATGTGGAGGGGGAAAACCCCGGAGGACACGGAGAGAAATCCACGTTCACATCCTCGTCGTCGTCGTCGTCGTCATCGTTACAGCTCCATCAGTACAGACATCGTCATCATCGTTACAGCCCCATCAGTACAGACATCATCGTCGTCATGGTTACATCCCCATCAGTACAGACATCATCGTCGTCATCGTTACATCCCCATCAGTACAGACATCATCGTCGCCATCGTTACAGCCCCATCAGTAGACATCATCGTCGTCATGGTTACATCCCCATCAGTACAGACATCATCGTCATCGTTACATCCCCATCAGTACAGACATCATCGTCGTCATCGTTACAGCTCCATCAGTACAGACATCGTCGTCATCGTTACATCGCCCATCAGTAGACATCGTCATCATCGTTACAGCCCCATCAGTACAGACATCATCGTCGTCGTCATCGTTACATCCCCATCAGTAGACATCATCGTCATTGTTACATCCCCATCAGTAGACATCGTCGTCGTCATGGTTACATCCCCATCAGTACAGACATCATCGTCGTCGTCATCGTTACAGCCCCATCAGTACAGACATCATCGTCGTCATCGTTACATCGCCCATCAGTAGACATCGTCATCATCGTTACATCCCCATCAGTACAGACATCATCGTCGTCATCGTTACATCCCCATCAGTACAGACATCATTGTCGTCATCGTCGTCGTGGCAACGGGAGGGACAAATCAGGGTACCGGGGGTTGCTCTCATCGTTGAAGTCCTCCGCCCACTTCTTGCGGAGACTCGCGGACGTGGATCCGTCCATGCGGTAGTAGTCCACGTTACGGAACCACTTCCCCTTGCCTAGAGATACACACGCAGAGATATACACAGAGATACACACAGAGATACACACGGAGATACACAGAGAGATACACAGAGAGATACACAGAGATACACACAGAGATACACACAGAGATACACACAGAGATACACACACAGAGATACACACACACACAGAGATACACACACAGAAATATACACACAGTGACACACACACACACAGTGATATACACACAGAGAGATACACACACAGAGACACACACACAGAGATACACACACACAGATATACACAGAGAGATACACACAGAGATACACACACAGAGATACACACACAGAGATACACACAGAGATATACACACAGAGATACACACAGAGATATACACAGAGATACACACAGAGATACACACAGAGATACACACAGAGATACACACAGATATACACAGAGAGATACACACAGAGATACACACAGACATACACAGAGAGATACACACACAGAGATACACACATACAGACACACAGAGATATACACACACATAGATACACACAGAGAGATACACACACATAGATACACACAGAGAGATATACACACAGAGACACACACAGAGATATACCCATACACATAGACACGCATACATACAACAACAACCGCCATTCACCACTAAGTGGCGGTGACGTCACCACGACGCTTGTGCCAGGCTATGTGCACCTTGAGGCCACGTGAAGTGTCGAACGCCCGCTGGCAGGAGGTCACGGGGCAGGCCCAAATGCCACGGGTCGACTGACTGAGATGACTGAGATGACTGGCTGATGCACCAACTGTGCCCCCTACTGTGCCAACCTGCTGTGCTTTAGCCACACGGCGCTCCGCTCGTTGTTGTGAGCGTCGCTCCTCCACCCTCCGTTGTTGTTGGAGGGCGACTGCCTCCAACTGCCCAGTAGCGTCCTTCACGAGCCTCCTCCACAGAGGCCGATCTTGACACCGCTGGTACTGGTGATCGGCAAGTCCACTCAGCTCCACGTCCTCCTGTACCACATCACTCCATCTCTTCTCTAGCCCGTGCCGTGCCCGTTTAGCCCCCTCAATCCGGCCGAACAAAAGCTGTTTCGGCATGCGGTGGCTGGGCATGCGGGCTACATGACCCAGCCAACGCAGCTTTGCCTGCCGGAGGAGCTCACCGATGGGACCTTGCCCAGATCTTTCAAGGATTTGTGAGCTCCTCACACAATCCAGCCTGGTTAAACCCAAGCTAGATCGTAGGCAGGCCAGCCTAAATGTTTCTAACCGGCGAAGATGTTCCATTAGGGGGGTCCATGTCCACACATACATACAGATACACACACACATACAGATACACACATAGATACACATACATACAGATACACACATAGACACACATACATACAGATACACACATAGACACACATACATACAGATACACACATGCATACAGATACACACATAGACACACATACATACATACAGATACACATACACAGAGATATACACACATACATAGACAAACACACATACAGATACACATACAGATACACAGAGAGAGACACACACACACACATATATACACACACACAGATATACACACACATAGACACAGATACACAGAGATACACACACACACAGACACACACACACATACAGATACACAGAGAGAGACACAGAGAGACAAACACACAGATACACACATATATACACACACACAGATATACACACACATAGACATAGATACACAGAGATACACAGAGATATATATACACACACACAGAGACACACACACATACAGATACACAGAGAGAGACACAGAGAGAGACACACACACAGATATATATATACACACACGGAGAGATACACACAGAGAGATACACACAGAGAGATACACACAGAGAGATACACACGGAGAGATACACACGGAGAGATACACACGGAGAGATACACACAGAGAGATACACACAGAGAGATACACACGGAGAGATACACACGGAGAGATACACACGGAGAGATACACACGGAGAGATACACAGGGAGAGATACACACGGAGAGATACACACGGAGAGATACACACGGAGAGATACACACGGAGAGATACACACGGAGAGATACACACAGAGAGATACACACGGAGAGATACACACGGAGAGATACACACACGCATGAAGAGGCACACGCACGTGCGGCGCGTGGCACGCACCTTTGTAGGGACTCTGCTTCTTGGCCGCCTTGGCCTTGTTTGCCATCTCGAGGAAGTCCTCGATGAGATCGAGCGAGATGAGAGACTGGCTGAACACCAGACTGCAGGGCGTGACATGGTGAGACACGGTGAGACACGGTGAGATACGGTGAGACACGGCGAGACACCGCACACGGTGAGACACGGTGAGACACGGTGAGACACGCAGAGACACGCAGAGACACGGAGAGAATGGCTGAACACCAGCCTGCAGGACGAGACACCGTGTAAACACAGAGACACGCACAGACACAGTGAGACAGGGTGAGATGCGGTGAGACAAGCTCAGACACGGTGAGACACAGTGAGACACAGTGAGACAAGCTCAGACACGGTGAGACACAGTAAGACACGGTGAGACACGGTGAGACACAGTAAGACACGGTGAGACACGCAGCGACACAGTAAGACACGGTGAGACACAGTGAGACACGGTGTGACACGGTGAGACACGGTGTGACAAGGTGAGACACGGTGAGACACAGTAAGACAAGGTGAGACACAGTAAGACAAGATGAGACACGGTGAGACACAGTAAGACATGGTGAGACATGGTGAGACACGGTGAGACACGGTGAGACACGGTGAGACACAGTAAGACAAGGTGAGACACAGTAAGACAAGATGAGACACGGTGAGACACAGTAAGACATGGTGAGACATGGTGAGACACGGTGAGACACGGTGAGACACGGTGAGACACAGTAAGACACAGTGAGACACGGCGAGACATGGTGAGACACAGTGAGACAAGGTGAGACACGGTAAGACACAGTGAGACACGGTGAGACACGGTGAGACACGGTGAGACACGGTGAGACACGGTGAGACACGGTGAGACACAGTGAGACACGGTGAGACACAGTAAGACACGGTAAGACAAGGTGAGACACGGTGAGACACGGTGAGACACGGTGAGACACAGTAAGACACGGTGAGACACGGTGAGACACGGTGAGACACAGTGAGACACGGTGAGACACAGTAAGACACAGTGAGACACGGTGAGACACAGTGAGACAAGGTGAGACACGGTGAGACACGGTGAGACACGGTGAGACACGGTGAGACACGGTGAGACACAGTAAGACACGGTGAGACACAGTAAGACACGGTGAGACACGGTGAGACACGGTGAGACACGGTGAGACACAGTAAGACACGGTGAGACACGGTGAGACACGGTGAGACACGGTGAGACACGGTGAGACACAGTGAGACACGGTGAGACACGGTGAGACACGGTGAGACACGGTGAGACACGGTGAGACACGGTGTGACACGGTGAGACACGGTGAGACACGGTGAGACACGGTAAGACACGGTGAGACACGGTGAGACACGGTGAGACACGGTGAGACACGGTGAGACACGGTGAGACACGGTGAGACACGGTGAGACACGGTGTGAGATGATGCGCGACGATGGGGTCGGCATCCCCTTCCACCACCACCACCGCCGCCGCACACCACACAAAGGGCGGCTTGTGTTCCATTGTGCGGAGAGACCAACCAGCACGGGCAGAGTGGGGAGTGTGGGAGGGAGCGAGAGAGAGCGGGGAAGAGAGAGTGGGAGTGAGAGCGGGAGAGAGAGCGAGAGAGAGAGCGAGAGAGGGCAGGGGAGAGAGAGAGCGGGGAAGAGAGAGTGGGAGAGAGAGTGCGGGAGAGAGAGCGAGAAGAGAGAGTGCGGGAGAGAGAGAGAGAACGGGAGAGAGAGCGGGAAAGGGCAGGGGAGAGAGAGTGGGGAAGAGAGAGTGCGGGAGCGAGAGAGAGCGGGAGTGAGAGCGGGGAAGAGAGAGTGGGAGAGAGAGCGGGAGAGAGAGCGGGAGAGAGAGCGAAAGAGGGCAGGGGAGAGAGCGGGGAAGAGAGAGTGGGAGAGAGAGTGCGGGAGAGAGAGCGAGAGCGTGAAGAGAGAGTGCGGGAGAGAGAGAGAACGGGAGAGAGAGCGGGAGAGAGAGCGGGAGAGAGCGGGGAAGGGCAGGGGAGAGAGAGTGGGGAAGAGAGCGGGAGAGAGAGAGAGCGGGAGAGAGCGGGGAAGAGAGAGCGGGAGAGAGAGAGAGAGCGGGAGAGAGAGCGGGAGAGAGAGCGGGAGAGAGAGAGAGAGCGGGAGAGAGCGTGGGAGAGAGAGAGAGCGGGAGAGGGCAGGGGGAGAGAGTGGGGAAGAGAGAGTGGGAGAGGGCAGGGGAGAGAGTGGTGGAAAGAGCAAGAGAGAGTGGGAGAGAGAGAGAGAGCGGGGAAGAGAGAGAGCGAGGCCACGTACACTTTCTCGCACAACTCCTCGGCCATGGCGAGCGTCTCGAAGAGCAGCGTCAGCTTGCCCGAGTGGGCAATCACCTCGGCCTCCTCCTCCTTCACAAACTCCTTGAACCACTCGGCCGTGCCTTTGGCTGCGACACGGCGGGGGGTAAGGGGGGTCATGGGTCAAATGCCAAGGGTGAGCGGAGTTCAGCGGGCGGCGGCGAGCGTTCTAGTCGCCCAGCAAGCCACTCACTCGCTGAGCTGAGCTGACCGTCTGACCAGCCTGGTCGCCCACTCGCTCACGTAACCGAGTCAGTTCGCTCAATCACTCGGTCAGTCAGCCACTCGGCTATCCGTCTGCCAGTCGCCGAGCCAGTTAACCGCTCACTCGCCCGGCTCTCCGTCCGCCCAGTCGCTCACCCACTCCCTCGCCTTCACCCAACTTAGTCATCCATCCACTCAAACACCCCAACGCCCACTAAGCCAACCACAACACACCTCGACAGGCATTCACCTGAGGCTGAGACAACCTAGGGCAGGGCTCGGGGACCGGTTCAGACTATCGTCACCGGCGTTGGTGGACGTGAGCGGGAATCGAACTCGGTTATCCGAGTTCGTAGCGTGGTGCGTGCTCACCGCTACTGCCACGCTCCCCACCACCCACCCACCCACAACAACAACAACGCCCGCCATTCGCCACGAACGCGACGGCGATGTCACCACGGCACCTACGCCAGGCCACCCACCCACACCACCACCACCCACTCACACCACCACCACCGCCACCACCACCACCCACCCACACCACCACCGCCACCACCGCCACCGCCACCCACCACCCCCCCCACCACCACCACCACCACCACCACCACCACCACCACCACCACCACCACCACCACACACCCACCACCACCACCACCCACACCCCCACCACCACCGCCACCACCCACACCACCGCCCACGCTCACCGTCATTCTCCTCGACCTTCTCCACCTTGGGCGTGACGTGGGGCACGTCGTCGTCGTCAGGCCGAGTGTTTCCCGCGCCCCGCCGCGACCTCGTGTTCCACACCTTCACCACCTCCACCGTGTCCGAGTCGGAGCTGCGGCCACCGCCGCCCCTCCTGTCGTTGCCGCTGGGGCCGCCGCCGGCGCCGCCGGGGCCGCCGCCCCTCCCGCCGTCTCCGCCGCCCCCCTTGCCGGCGCCCTTCTTGCCCTTCCTGCGACTGTGGTGGAGGTGAGGTGGTGAGGTGGTGGGGGCGACGGTGGAGGTGACGGTGGGGGTGATGGTGGGGGCGACGGTGGGGGTGATAGTGGAGGTGACGGTGGGGGCGATGGTGGGGGTGACGGTGGGGGCGACGGTGGAGGTGACGGTGGGGGTGATGGTAGGGGTGACGGTGGAGGTGACGGTGGGGGCGACGGTGGGGGTGACGGTGGGGGTGATAGTGGGGGTGATAGTGGGGGTGATAGTGGGGGTGATAGTGGGGGTGACGGTGGGGGTGATAGTGGGGGTGACGGTGGGGGTGACGGTGGGGGTGACGGTGGAGGTGACGGTGGAGGTGACGGTGGGGGTGATAGTGGGGGCGACGGTGGGGGCGATGGTGGGGGCGACGGTGGGGATGGGAGGTGGAGGAGGTAATGGAGGAGGCGGTGAAGGAGGAGGTGATGGTGGAGTAGATGATGGAGGAGGTGGAGGTGAAGGAGGTGGAGGAGGTGATGGTGGAAGAGTCGAATGATGAGGTAATGGGAGGAGGTGGAGGAGCAGGAGGGGAGGAGGTGATGTAGATGGTGGTGGTGGTGATGGAGGAAGGGGTGAAGGAGGTGACGGTGAACAAGTTGATGGAGGAGCAAGAGGGAAGGAGGAGGTGATGGCGGAGGTAATGGTGGTGGAGGAGGAGGAAAAAGGAAGAGGTGATGGTGGAAGAGGTGATGGAGACGGAGGAGGTGGAAATAAAGGGGGGGGGGAGAAGGAGGTGGTGACGATGGTGGAGATTCTATCCCTGGTCGACAACTGTGATGGTGGAGTGGATGACGACGTTGTTGACGTTGTTGACGTTGTTGACGTGGGGGGTGAGGAGGAGGGGGTTCCCCGACGGCCCTCACCTCGTCGTGGGCTCCGAGTCCGACCCCAGGCCACTCATGGAGGCTTCTTCCTCGTCGGACGTGGCGATGAAGTCGTCCATGCTGTCTTCGTCGTAAAAGCCCTGCGGCAGCGATGGCGGCAGCGTTAGCAACGGCTCAACCGATGCTAACCAACCACTCAACCAACCACTCAACCACTCAATAACCAACCACTCACTAACCAACCACTCACTAACCAACCACTCACTAACCAACCACTCAACCACCAACCACTCAACCACCAACCACTCAACCACCAACCACTCACTAACCAACCACTCACTAACCAACCACTCAACCCAACCACTCAACCCAACCACTCACTAACCAACCACTCAACCACTCACTAACCAACCACTCAACCACTCACTAACCAACCACTCAACCACTCACTAACCAACCACTCAACCAACCACTCACTAACCAACCACTCAACCACCACTCAACCAACCACTCACTAACCAACCACTCACTAACCAACCACTCAACCAACCACTCACTAACTAACCACTCACGAACCAACCACCCAACCACTCACTAGCCAACCACTCAACCAACCACTAACCAACCACTCACTAACCAACCACTCAACCAACCACTCAACCACTCACTAACCAACCACTCACTAGCCAACCACTCACTAGCCAACCAATCAACCACTCACTAACCAACCACTCACGAACCAACCACTCACTAACCAACCACTCAACCAACCACTCACTAACCAACCACTCAACCAACCACTCACTAACCAACCAACCAACCACTCACTAGCCAACCACTCAACCAACCACTCAACCAACCACTCAACCAAGCACTAACCAAACACTCAACCAATCACTAACCAACCACTAACCAACCACTTGCTCATTCAACCAACCACTCAACCACTTACCACTCAGCCAATCACTAACCAACCACTTGCTAACTCAACCAATCACTAACCAACCACTCAACCAATCCCTAAGCAACCACTCACTCAACCAATCACTAGCCAACCACTCAACCAACCACTCACTAACCAACCACTCAACCACTCACTAGCCAACCAATCACTAACCAACCACTCAACCAACCACTAACCAACCACTCAACAGCCACCCACTCAACCAACCACTCAACCACTCACTAACCACTGGCTCCCCCCCCCCCCACCCCGCGGTGTGTGTGTGACGTGCCTTGTTCTCCTTGCTGATGTAGTCGAGGTGCAGGCACCAGGGGTGAGTCCAGATGCGGCACAGCATCTGGTAGTCGGCAAACAGCTTCGTGCCGCAGCGGCCACGGCTCTGCTCGCCCATCATCGCCGCGCCTGCACGCCACGGGGGAGGGGCGCGGGTCACGGCGAGCGACGGCGAGCGACGCGGCACACCGAGAGCCATGGCATGACGCACGGTGACGTCACCGTAACAACGCACGGTGACGTCGCACGGTAACGTCACCGTAACAACGCACGGTGACGTCGCACGGTAACGTCGCCGTAACGTCACACGGTAACGTCGCCGTAACGTCGCCGTAACGACGCACGGTAACGTCACCGCGCGTCCGTCCGCCAATTTAGTTTGTCCGCTAAACGATTTCATTTCTTTATTCGTCATTCATTCCCCCCCCCCCCATCCTCGCACCGCACGTGGATTCCCTGCAGCGCCAGGCAGCCATGCGGCCAGGCAGCCAGCCAAACTTATTGGCAATCGCCGCAGCTGAAGCCGGCGCTTCCGGCGGTTCCGATGGGGCTCGTAGGCCTCCCTCTCGCCCCCCCCACCACCACTACCTGCCCCCCTCCCCACCGCCCAGGGTGCGTGCCCTCCACCACTCCTCCTCCGCCGACCTGTGAAGTTGTCCAGGTAGTGCTGGTAGAGCTTGCACTGCAGCGGCGTGAGGCGGATGGAGAGCACGTACTCGTGCTTGGGGGGCAGGAACTTGGTGAGCGCCGTGTAGTCCTTCCTCTGTGCGGGCGACACGCACGCACACACACGCACGCACACACGCACGCACGCACACACGTACACACACACGTACACACACACGTACACACACACGTACACACACACACGTACACACACACGCACGCACACACACACGCACGCACACACACGCGCACACACACACACGTACACACACACACGCACACACACGTACACACACGCATGCACGCACACGCACACACACACACGTACACACACGCACACACACACGTACACACACACGCACGCACACACACGAACGTGCGTCAGTCACCTCGCCCGCGTTTCGTCGCGTGCGGACGCTGTGCTGCTGCTGCTGCTGCGTCGTCGACGTGGTGGTGGTGGTCTCGGCACCACGGAAGCAGACATCGTGGACCTGACTCGGAGAATCTCTACTCCTCCTCCTCCTCCTCGTTTACGGGGGGCCTCCTCCGGTATCACTCGCTCCGTTTGCCCGTTCACAAGCTCACCGACTCCCTCATCCACTCACCCCGTCACGACTCACCCATCCACCCACTCGCCCACCTACCCACCCGCTCATTCATTCACTCACTAGCTCACTCGCCCACCGACCAACCCGCTACTCATCCATTCACTCACTCACTCGCCCACCCACCCATCACTCATCCATCCATTCACTCACTCGCCTACCCCCCTACTCAATCAATCATTCATTCACTCACTCGCCCACCCACCCACCGGTTACTCATCCATTCTCTCACTCGCCCACCCACACATCACTCACTCACTCACTCGCCCACCCACCCGCTACTCATCCATTCCATTCACTCACTCGCCCACCCACCCACTCGCTCACTCATCCATTCACTCACTCGCCCCCCCCCACTCTCCCCCATTCATCCACCGCAACACCCACCCCTCCACCCTACCCACCCACCCACCGCCAACCCAGCACCCACCTGCACGCAGCCGGCGAGCAGCTCGTAGAGGATGTGTGCCCTCTTCTTCATGAGGCGCACGTCGGCCGGCGTGGAGTCAGAGCACTGCCCGTTCTGGATGGGGTTGATGAAGCGGTTCCGGAACTCCTTGGACGAGCCCAGCAGATTCTCCTTGATGAAGTTCACCATGCAGTGATCTGCGCGCACCACAACCCCGCCCCCCCCCCGTCACACCGCAGCGGTGGGCGAGAAATGTTAACTGCCTCGCCTGGTACGCGGGAGGTCGTGGGTTCGAAGCTCGACCCCGGCGACGCATTGTGGTATATTTAGAGTTTGCGTGTTCTCCATCTCTCCCTGAGGTAGTCACGTAGATTTGTGTGCGCGTGGACGAGCTCAGCAAGGGTTATCCTTGATGACGTTCGCGACGCAGTGGTCTGCGCCCCCCCCCCCCCCCCCCCCCCCCGTCACACCGCAGCAGTGGGCGAGAAATGCTAACTACCTCGCCTGGTACGCGGGAGGTCGTGAGTTCGACGCCCGACACCGGCGACGCATTGTGGTATATTTGGAGTTTTGTGTGTTCTTTCTCTGGCTGCTATAAATTTCCACGTGACGATGACAATGATGAGCCACTTCGTTGGGCAATCATTTGCCTTATCCCCGGCTGAGCTAATGAATAGAGTTTTAAAAGTTAAACTTCAACAGTTTCAAAGGTGGTAGCCCCCCCCCGCCCCCGTTTAGCCCTTCAAGCCTTTCCCAGTCTGATGACGTACGTCTATGTCCGCGGGTTTTTTTTCCTTCCGATTCCATTTCGGAAGCAAAAACTAAAACGAGAGAGCTTCACCGGTACCGAGGCTCCCCACAAGGCCGTGCAGGAGAGCGCGTCGGGGCACAGCGTTGGCGCCGGCTATCGTAGGGTGGCGGCAGTCGTGTGGCTACGGTTCTCCGCGGTGCCGAGTAACGACGTCTTTAACAAACAACCACGGCGCTGCTGCTACTGCTGCTACTGCTGCTGTTGTTACTAATACTGATACTACTACTGCTGCTGCTACTGCTGCTGTTGTTACTAATACTGATACTACTACTGCTGCTGCTACTGCTGCTGTTGTTACTAATACTGCTACTACTACTGCTGCTGCTACTGCTGCTGCTGTTGTTACTAATACTGATACTACTACTGCTGCTGCTGCTGCTACTGCTGCTGTTGTTACTAATACTGATACTACTACTGCTGTTGTTGTTACTAATACTGATACTACTACTGCTGCTACTGCTGCTGCTGTTGTTACTAATACTGATACTACTACTGCTGCTGCTGCTACTGCTGCTGTTGTTACTAATACTGATACTACTACTGCTGCTGCTGCTGCAACTGCACCTCTCGGAATAAAATGAACGCTGTGAACCGATTTTAACAGCAGGTACATTTTTTTTTAAGGCTGAGTCGACCTAGGTGATTGCCCAGGCCCGGTACAGATGTTCGCTCTCTCACTGTCGTTAGGCCTCGAGCGGGAATCGAACGCTCGGGCCGCCGGGTTCGTGGGGCAAGCGTGCTAACCACTGTGCCACCGATCCCCATTATGCTGTCACACAACACGAAGATCCCCCACGTAGGCTAAACAGACTGTTGGGGCAAGTGCTGTTAAGTTAGTGAGTAGCAGCATCTATGAAGGCCGGCACAACACCCACGGAGGGGGGTGGGTGGCAATCGCCACGCCCGACGCCTTTGTCTCCTCAGTGGCGATGTTTACACATCGCACCCGGGACTTATTTGAGGCCGAGTCGACCTAGGGGAGGACCAGCGAAGCAGGACCGAGTTCAAATAATAATTGTCACTGGTGGTTGCCGTGAGCGGGAATGGAACCTGGGGTGTCTGCCGGGTTCTTAGCGCAGCGTAGCGTTAACCGCAGCACTACACAGACACGCGCACACACACAGACATGCGGAGCGCAGGGCCAACGGTCGGGCAAAACAAGATGAGGGGGAGAGAGGGAGGGAGAGAGGGAGGGAGGATGAGTGAGCGGATGAATGAGTGCGTGAGTGCGAGACTGAGCGAGTGAGCGACGGGCGGAAGTGAGAGAGTGAGTGAGAGGAGAGAGGAAGAGAGTGAGAGAGGTAAGTGGAGGGGGAGCCTAGGAGCAGAGAGAGGGGGGGGGGTGGGTGGGTGACTGGGCTGCCTTCCCACGCTGCTGTCGGGGCCAGGGTAGTGGCGACCGTGGAACCCGATCCCTTAATGGGCTAGAATAATCGTGCGACCACCACCGCCCCACCACAACCACCAACAACAACCGTCACCACCACGACCAAAGACAAAGGATCCCTCCCGCCCTTAGAGCCTTAACAGACCGTTGGGGCAAGTGCCCGTTGCACGCATGTACGTTGAACTTCCTTCGCACCGTACGCATCCAACCGTGCTAATCGGAGGTGTTTGTAGTGTGTAGCAGCGCCTATGAATGCTGGCGTGGCCTAAGAAGGGAGTGAGTGGCCACCATCGCCACCATCACCACCATCGCCACCATCACCACCAACCACAACCCCCCCTGCCAGCATCAGCATCACCACAACCAGCACGACCATCACCGCCACCATTACTCCTCCACGCTCGGTATGCGGTCGGTGATGGTGGTGGTGATGAATCTGATGATGACGTTGACAGCGGTGGGTGGTGGTTAAATCGATTAATGACGACGACGATCAGCGGCCGAAATCCACCCCCCGAACCCCCGACCCGGGATTCAAACTCGGGCGGCTCCAACTCCGCGGAACCGCGAAGCGAGCGAGACGGAGCGAGACGGAGCGGATGATGGATCGATCGATTCCGTGCATCCACCGCCACGGCCACCACCACCGCCGTCACCGCCGTCACCGCCGTCACCGCCGTCACCGCCGTCACCGCCGTCACCGCCGTCACCGCCCCGGCTGCCTCAGCCAACTGACCGCGCTAAACGGGCCTTAACGGTGGCGTGCCGACAGTTTATGGTACCAGCATGAGGACGCGCGCGTGTGTGTGTGCGAGCGAGCGTGTCTGCAAGTGCGCGCGTGTGTGTGTGTGTGCACGTGTGGGGAGCGGTCGTGTTAGCGATCAGCGCTATGCTGATCGCTACGAACCCGGCAGAGACCCGGGTTCGATTCCCGCTCACGGCCAACGCCGGTGACCATTATCCGAACCCGTTCTGGGCCTCCCCTAGGGCGATTCAGCCTCAAAACGAGTACCTGGTGCCGTGTGCAGTAAACATCGCCACTAGGGGAGACAAAGGCGGCCGGGCGTGGTGCTGGCCACTCACCCCCTCGTGTGCCGTGCCGGCCTTCATAGGTGCTCGCTAAGAGCACTTGCCCCTACAGTCTGTTAAGGCTACACGGGGGATCTTTGTGTACATTGTGTGTGTCATGTACACTGCGTGTCTCACACACGAGGTTGTTCAGCAGTGAGGTTCCGGTGTGTTGTGTACATTGTGCGAGTGTGTGTTGTGTACATTGTGTGCGTGTGTGTTGCGTACATTGTGTGCGTGTGTTGTGTACATTGTGTGCGTGTGTTGTGTACATTGTGTGCGTGTGTGTTGCGTACATTGTGTGCGTGTGTGCTGTGTACATTGTGCGTGTGTGCTGTGTACATTGTGTGCGTGTGTGCTGTGTACATTGTGTGCGTGTGTGTTGTGTACATTGTGTGCGTGTGTGTTGTGTACATTGTGTGCGTGTGTGTTGTGTACATTGTGTGCGTGTGTGTTGTGTACATTGTGTGCGTGTGTGTTGTGTACATTGTGTGCATGTGTGTTGTGTACATTGTGTGCGTGTGTGTTGTGCACATTGTGTGTTGTGTACATTGTGTGCGTGTGTGTTGTGCACATTGTGTGCGTGTGTGTTGTGTACATTGTGTGTGTTGTGTACACTGTGTGAGTGTGTGTTGTGTACATTGTGTGCGTGTGTGCTGTGTACATTGTGTGTGTTGTGTACATTGTGTGTGTTGTGTACATTGTGTGTGTGTGTTGTGTACATTGTGTGCGTGTGTGCTGTGTACATTGTGTATGTTGTGTACATTGTGTGCGTGTGTGCTGTGCACGTGTTGTGCGTGTGTGTTGTGTACATTGTGTGCGTGTGTGCTGTGCATGTGTTGTGCGTGTGTGTTGTGTACATTGTGTGCGTGTGTGTTATGTACATTGTGTGTGCTGTGTACATTGTGTGTGCTGTGTACATTGTGTGTGTTGTGTACATTGTGTGCGTGTGTGCTGTGTACATTGTGTGCGTGTGTGTTGTGTACATTGTGTGCGTGTGTGCTGTGTACATTGTGTGTGCTGTGTACATTGGGTGTGTGTGATGTTGTGTACATTGTGTGTGTTGTGTACATTGTGTGTTGTGTACATTGTGTGTGTTGTGTACATTGTGTGTGCTGTGTACATTGTGTGTGTTGTGTACATTGTGTGTGTGCTGTGTACATTGTGTACATTGTGTGTGCTGTGTACATTGTGTGTGCTGTGTACATTGTGTGTGTGTGCTGTGTACAATGTGTGTGTTGTGTACATTGTGTGTGCTGTGTACATTGTGTGTGTTGTGTACATTGTGTGCGTGTGTGCTGTGTACATTGTGTGTGTGCTGTGTACATTGTGTGTGCTGTGTACATTGCGTGCACTGTGTACATTGTGTGTGTTGTGTACATTGTGTGTGTTATGTACATTGTGTGCGTGTGTGCTGTGTACATTGTGTGTGTGCTGTGTACATTGTGTGTGTTGTGTACATTGTGTGTGCTGTGTACATTGTGTGCGTGTGTGTGCTGTGTACATTGTGTGTGTTGTGTACATTGTGTGTGTGTTGTGTACATTGTGTGTGTTGTGTACATTGTGTGTGTTGTGTACACTGTGTGTGTGTTGTGTACATTGTGTGTGTTGTGTACATTGTGTGTGTTGTGTGCATTGTGTGTGTTGTGTACACTGTGTGTGCTGTGTACATTGTGTGTGTTGTGTACATTGTGTGTGTGCTGTGTACATTGTGTGTGCTGTGTACATTGTGTGTGTTGTGTACATTGTGTGTTGTGTACACTGTGTGTGTTGTGTGCATTGTGTGTTGTGTACACTGTGTGTGTTGTGTACACTGTGTGTGTTGTGTACATTGTGTGTGTGTGATGTTGTGTACATTGTGTGTGTTGTGTACACTGTGTGTGTGTATGTTGTGTACATTGTGTACACTGTGTGTGTTGTGTACATTGTGTTGTGTTTTGTGTACACTGTGTATGTTGTGTACACTGCGTGTCTCACACTCCATGAGGTTGTTCTGCAGGGGGGTCCCTGTGAGCACGACGCGTCTGCGCGTCGCGATGGCGTTCATGGCTTTGGAGATGGCCGAGTTCTCGTTCTTCAGGATGTGGCCCTCGTCACAGATCACAAAGTCCGGGCCTACACGGGGGTGGGTGGGGGCCACGCGGGGGGAGGAGGGGGCACGGGGGGGTGGGGGCCACGCGGGGAGAGGAGGGGGGGGCACGGGGGGGGTGGGGGACACGCGGGGGGGGGGGGGGGGGCACGGGGGGGGGGGGTGGGGGACACGAGGGAGACACGGGGAGATACGGGGAGACACGGATGTTGTCAACGTGCGGGGAGACACCGGGGAGACACGGGGGGGACGTGGGGAGGGGGACGTGGGGGAGACACGGGGTGGACACGGGGGGGACACGAGGGAGACACGGGGGTTGACAACATTCGGGTTGACAAAATGCGGGGAGACACCGGGGGGGTGGGGAGGGGGGGGAGACACGGGGGAGAGACGGGGGATAAGGGGGGACGTGAGGGAGACACGGGGGAGAGACCGGGGATAAGAGGGGGACGCGAGGGAGACACGGGGGACACGGGGGCACATGGGGGGGGGGGAGGGACAAAGGGAAAGCGAACGGGGGTAGATGCGGGGAGAGTTAGGGAGATAATCACCTGGTGAGTGAGAAAGAGACAGAAAAATGGAGAGACAAAGAGAGAGACACACAGAGAGACAAAGAGAGAGACACACACAGAGAGACACAGAGAGAGAGACACAGAGAGAGACACAGAGAGAGAGACACACAGACAGAGAGGCACAGAGAGAGAGAGACACACAGAGAGAGACAGAGAGATACAGAGACACAGAGAGAGAGACAGAGAGAGACAGACGGTGGTGCCGTCTCACTGGAGTTGACGAGTGTGCGCTCAGCATAGAGAGACAAGCTCAGCACAGAGACACACAGAGACACACACAGAGACACACCACAGAGACACACCACAGAGACACACAGGCATAGGCACGGTGGTGGTGGTGGCGTCTCACCGGGGTTGACAAGTGTGCGCTCAGCACACAGAGAGACACACAAAGACACACAAAGACACACAGAGAGAGACACACAGAGAGACACACACAGAGAGACACACAGAGACACACCCACAGAGACACACACACAGAGACACGCACAGAGAGAGAGAGAGAGACAAGGCACGGCGGTGGTGTCTCACCGGGGTTGACGAGTGTGCGCTCAGCACACAGAGACAGACACACAGAGAGAGACACACACAGAGAGACACACAGAGACACACAAAGACACACACACAGAGACAGACACACACAGAGAGAGACACACACACAGAGACACACACAGAGAGATACACAGACATAGGCACGGTGGTGGTGGTGGTGGTGGTGTCTCACCGGGGTTGACGAGTGTGCGCTCAGTACACAGAGAGACACACAGCGACACACAGAGAGAGACACACAGAGAGAGACACACAGAGAGAGACACACACAGAGACAAGGCACGGCGGTGGTGTCTCACCGGGGTTGACGAGCGTGCGCTCAGCACACAGAGACACACAGAGAGACACACAGAGACACACACACAGAGACACACACACAGAGACACACAGAGAGATACACACACAGAGACACACACAGAGAGACACACAGAGACACACACAGAGAGACACACAGAGACACACACAGAGAGACACACAGAGACACACACAGAGAGACACACAGAGACACACACACACACAAGGCACGGTGGCGGCGGTGTCTCACCGGGGTTGACGAGTGTGCGCTCAGCACACAGAGACACACACAGAGAGACACACACAGAGACACACAGAGACACACAGAGAGACACACACACAGAGACACACACACAGAGAGACACACACAGAGACACACAGAGACACACACAGAGAGACACACACAGAGAGACACACACACAGAGACACACACACAGAGACACACACAGACACAAGGCACGGTGGCGGTGTCTCACCGGGGTTGACGAGTGTTCGCTCGAAGGCCTCGCGCTGCTTCTTGCTCTTGATGTTGCGCCCCTGCGTGAGGTTGCGGTACATCTCATAGCCCATGATCATGATGCCGCCCGTCTCGTGCCACTCCTGCAACAGGCGCACGCGGTCCTGCACCCGCTTCACCGTCGTCAGCTCCCATACCTGCACAAGCAGCACACACCACGTCACGTCATGGCACACCACGCCACGTCACACCACGCCACGCCACGTCACACCACACCACGTCACACCACGTCACGTCATGGCACACCACGCCACGTCACACCACACCACGTCACGTCATGGCACACCACGCCACGTCACGACAAGCCACCCACAGCACGCCACCCACGCCACGTCACACCACGCCACACGTCACACCACACCACACATGCCACGCCACACCACGTCACACCACGCCACACCACGCCACACCACCCATGCCACGCCACACCACGTCACCCACGCCACGTCACACCACACCACACCACCCATGCCATGCCACGCCACGTCACACCACGCCACACCACGTCACACCACGTCACACCATGCCACGTCACACACCACGCCACGTCACACCACGCCACACCACGTCACGCCACACCACGGGGGCAACAACACCACCCATGAGTCTTGACATCCAGCGTTCAGGAGGGTGCTGCCAGTCAGCTGTGTGTGTGTGTGTGTCCGTGTGTGTGTCCGTGTGTGTGTCCGTGTGTGTGTCCGTGTGTGTGTCCGTGTGTGTGTCTGTGTGTGTGTGTCTGTGTGTGTGTGTCTGTGTGTGTGTCCGTGTGTGTGTCCCCGTGTTGACTCGGTCTCAAATGAGTAACTTGGTGCAGTGTGCAGTAAACATCGCCACTGGGGAGACAAAGGTGGCCGGGCGCGGTGCTGGCCACCCACCCCCTCATGTGCCGTGTCGGCCTTCATCGGTGCTGCTGCTACTCGCTGACAACAAAAAGTCTATCAAGGCTATAAGGTCTTTGTCTCCGTCTCTCTCTATCCCTCTAGCTCTCCCCATCCCTCTATCTCTCACTATCCCTCTATCTCTCTCTCTCTCTATCCCTCTAGCTCTCTATCCCTCTATCTCTCTCTATCCCTCTATCTCTCTCTCTCTATCCCTCTAGCTCTCTCTCTCTCCCTCTAGGTCTCTCTATCCCTCTCTCTCTATCCCTCTCTCTCTATCCCTCTATCTCTCTCTATCCCTCTATCTCTCTCTCTATCCCTCTATCCCTCTCTCTCTCTATCCCTCTATCTCTCTCTATCCCTCTATCTCTCTCCATCCTCCAGATCTCTCTCTCTGCCTCTCTCTCTCTCTGTATCTCTCTCTGTCCATCTCTCTGTCTCCCCGTCTCTCTCCTCTATCTCTTTCTCTGTCTTGCATACCACACACACGTCGGTGATGTGCACGTCTTCTTCGAACGCTGGGGAGCCGGACAAGCCCCCTGTACCAGCGTGGACGGCACCCTCATGTTCGCCTTCTGAAGCGCTCGCTCGTCACCGTGGCGTGCGCGATGACCACCACAACCACGTGACTTTTCTTTCGTGTTGTATGCGGTGCTTTTTAGTGCCACAGCGCGTGGATTTGTAACGTTTATTTTCATTTGTGTTGCTGGTGACTTTGTGTATTTCATATAGAAATCGCCTCCAGTGCTTTTGCTGCTGGCGGCAATAAAAGTTGTTTAAAAGTCAAAAGTCTCCGTCTCTCTCTCTCTATCCGTCTCTCTCTCTATCCATCTCTCTCTCTCTATCTATCCATCTCTCTCTCTATCCGTCTCTCTCTCTATCCGTCTCTCTATCTGATTCTCTCTCTATCCGTCTCTCTCTGTCTATCTCTCTCTGTGTCTCCCTGTCTCTCTCTCTGTGTCTCCGTCTCTCTCTCAGTCTCTCTATCCGTCTCTCTCTCTATCTGTCTCTCTCTCTGTCTATCTCTCTCTGTGTCTCCGTCTCTCTCTCAGTCTCTCTATCCGTCTCTCTCTCTATCCGTCTCTCTCTATCCGTCTCTCTCTATCCGTCTCTCTCTCTGTCTCCCTGTCTATCTCTCTCTGTGTCTCACTGTCTCTCTCTCAGTCTCTCTATCTCTCTCACCTCTCTCTCTCTCGATCTCTTCCAGACGACGGACCCACCTCCCCCCCCTCCCCCCCCCCCCCCCCCCCCCTCCCCCCCCGGGCCTCACCTCCAGCTCATCCTCTTCCAGGTTTCCGATCCAGAGGTTGAACTCGTTCTGCCAGTTGAGGACGGTGTTGAGGGGACACACGACGAGGGCCGTGTCGAAGTCGAGCTTCTTGTTGGTCAGCACGGTGTGAAGCAGCGTCACCACCTTCACGCGGCGCACGCACAGAGACGAAGACCAAGATCCCCCGTTCAGCCTCAACAGACTGTTGGGGGCGAGCGCCGTTGGCGACCAGCACGCTACGAAGGCCGGAACGGCGGCACGCTAAGGGGTGGGTGGACAGCACCGCGCCCGGCCGCCTTTGTCTCCTCGGTGGCGATGTTTACTGCACACCGCACCGGGTGCTCATTTGAGGCCCAGTCGACCTAGGGGAGGCCCGGGACCGCGTTCAGATAATCCGTCAGCGGCGTTGGCCGTGAGCGGGAATCGAACCCCGGCTCGCCGGGTTCGTAGCGCGGCAACGGCGCTAACCGTTACATCGCCGCTCCCCACTCGCACGGACGCACGCACCACGCACATAGACACAGTGAGAGAGACACACAGTGAGAGAGAGGCACACAGAGACACACACACAGAGAGACACAGAGCGAGAGAGGTAAAGACGACGAAGAACAGAATCCACGAGGCCTCTGTTCGATCTTGTCCAGGAGCGTAAAAGCCCAGTTTGATCGGAAGTAGTAAGGAGGCTTTCACCACCAAATAATCCGTAATAACATTATCCGTGAGTAATAATATTATCCATATGTTTGGGGGTTGGATCGCGTGAATATAAATGTGCCGTTAGACCCGCCACGACCCGCCACCACCACCAACCACCACCAACCACCCCGACACACAGCCAATTAGCAAGGGGTTTGTCACGTTCAGCACTAACCGGTTGCCGCATCGCACGGCTTCTGCAGCCGTCTGGAACGCGCCCTTCCGTTCCGATGCTAGGAAGCCACCACAACTACGCACTTTTAAATCCTTTCCCCTGCACCTCCGATTAGCGCGGTTGGCTACGTACGGTGCGAAAGAAGCTCAACGTACAGACATAGAGACTCACACAGAGACCCATAGACTCACAACATAGACCCATAGGCACATCCTACAGAGACCCATAGACTCATAACGCAGAGGCCCATAATCATCACACAGAAACCCATAGACTCATCACACAGAGGCCCACAAACTCACATAAAAACCCACAAACTCAGAGACCCACCGACTCACACAGAGACCCACAGACTCACACAGAGACCCACCGACTCACACAGAGACCAATAGACTCACACAGAGACCCACTGACTCACACAGAGACCCACAGACTCACACAGAGACCAATAGACTCACACAGAGACCCACCGACGCAAACAGAGACCCCCAGACTCACACAACGACCAATAGACTCACACAGAGACCCACCGACTCACACAGAGACCCACAGACTCACACAAAGACCAATAGACTCGCACAGAGACCCACTGACTCACACAGAGACCCATAGACTCGCACAGAGACACAGACTCACACAGAGACCCGCAGACTCACACAGAGACCCATAGACTCACACAGACCCATAGACTCACAGAGACCAATAGACTCACACAGAGACCCACAGACTCACACAGAGACCCACAGACTCACACAGAGACCCACCGACGCACACAAAGACCCATAGACTCACACAGAGACCAATAGACTCACACAGAGACCCACCGACTCACACAGAGACCCACAGACTCACACAAAGACCAATAGACACACAGAGACCCATAGTTTGTTGTCCTTTCCCCCGCACCTCCGATCATCACGGTTGGCTACGTACGGTGCGAAAGAAGTTCAACGCCCATACAAAGGTCCCCCGTATCAGCCATGAAACTCGCCGCGTCTCGCTCGCTCGCTCTTAAAACTCCATGAAGAAGGTCCATTGCCTGCAACGTCGTCTATCGTAAACGTTTCCTTTTAAGGCCACAGAAAGCGAAAGATCCCCCCCCCCCTGCATAGCATTCGGGGCAACTGCTGTCAGCGAGTGGCACCTAAGAAGGCCGGCACTGCGCACCTGGGGTGCTCATCTGAGGCCGCCGTCGACCTCGGGGAAGGCCCCAGGATCGGTTCGGGATCATCGCCAGCGGCGTTGGTGGCGGCCGCGAGCGGGAGTTGAACCTCGGCTCGTGGCCGGGTCGCGGCGGCGTGCGCGCTAACCGCTGTGCCACCGCTCCCCACGCCCGCCACCTCGAAACGCCATTTCCCCACCACGACCACCGCCGCAAGCGCCACAACACAACCAGTGAGTCTCAACGCCCAGCGTTCAGGAGGGCCCTGCCAGCCAGCTGGGTTTGTGTCTGTGTGTGTCTGTGTGTGTGTCTGTGGCTGGGTCACGTAGCCCGCATGCCCAGCCACCGCATGCCGAAACAGCTTTTGTTCGGCCGGATCGAGGGGGCTAAACGGGCGCGGCACGGGCTAGAGAAGAGATGGAGCTGACGTGGTACAGGAGGACGTGGAGCTGAGTGGACTTGCCGATGACCGGTACCAGCGGTTGTCAAGATCGGCCTCTGTGGAGAGGAGGCTCGTGAAGGACGCTACTGGGCAGTTGGAGGCAGTCGCCCTCCAACAACAACGGAGGGCGGAGGAGCGACGCTCACAACAACGAGCGGAGCGCCGGGTGGCTAAAGCACAGCAGGTTGGCACAGTAGGGGGCACAGGTGGTGCATCAGCCAGTCATCTCAGTCAGTCGACCCGTGGCACCTGGGTCTGCCCCATGACCTCCTGCCAGCGGGCGTTCGACACTTCACGTGGCCTCAAGGTGCACATAGCCTGGCACAAGCGTCGTGGTGATGTCACCGCCACTTAGTGGCGAATGGCGGTTGTTGTTGTTGTTGTCTGTGTGTGTATGTGTAGGAAGAGGTAGCGTAGCGGTTAGCGCTACGCTGCGCTATGAACCCGGCGACCCGAGTTCGATTCCTGCTCTCGGCCAACACCGGTGACGATTACCTGAACCGGTCCTGGGCCTCCCCTAGGTCGACTCAGCCTCAAATGAGCGCCTGATGCGATGTGTAAACATCGCCACTAGGGACACAAAGGCGCCTCCACCCCCCCTGTCACCTTGGGTTAACTGGGTTAACAACGCTCTACTCTCTTGTTCTTCCCCTCCGTTTGAAGTTCCCCGCCGTTTGTGTTTGTTTACCTTACCCTGTCCACTGGGGAAAACACACAGCAGCATTCCTCACCCTCACGCTCTCCCTCAGGCTCTGTGCGAGTCTGTGGGTCTCTGTGCGAGTCTGTGGGTCTCTGTGCGAGTCTGTGGGTCTCTGTGCGAGTCTGTGGGTCTCTGTGCGAGTCTGTGGGTCTCTGTGTGAGTCTGTGGGTCCTCTGTGCGAGTCTGTGGGTCTCTGTGCGAGTCCTGTGGGTCTCTGTGCGAGTCCTGTGGGTCTCTGTGCGAGTATGTGGGTCTCTGTGCGAGTCTGTGGGTCTCTGTGCGAGTCTGTGGGTCTCTGTGCGAGTCTGTGGGTCTCTGTGCGAGTCTGTGGGTCTCTGTGCGAGTCTGTGGGTCTCTGTGCGAGTCTGTGGGTCTCTGTGCGAGTCTGTGGGTCTCTGTGCGAGTCTGTGGGTCTCTGTGCGAGTCCGTGGGTCTCTGTGCGAGTCCGTGGGTCTCTGTGCGAGTCCGTGGGTCTCTGTGCGAGTCCGTGGGTCGCTGTGCCAGTCCGTGGGTCGCTGTGCGAGTCCGTGGGTCGCTGTGCGAGTCCGTGGGTCGCTGTGCGAGTCCGTGGGTCTCTGTGCGAGTCTTGAGTCTCTGTGCGAGTCTGTGGGTCTCTGTGCCAGTCTGTGGGTCTCTGTGCGAGTCTGTGGGTCTCTGTGCGAGTCTGTGGGTCTCTGTGCGAGTCTGTGGGTCTCTGTGCGAGTCTGTGGGTCTCTGTTTGAGTCTGTGGGTCTCTGTGGGTCTCTGTGTGAGTCTGTGGGTCTCTGTGTGAGTCTGTGGGTCTCTGTGCGAGTCTGTGGGTCTCTGTGCGAGTCTGTGGGTCTCTGTGTGAGTCTGTGGGTCTCTGTGTGAGTCTGTGGGTCTCTGTGCGAGTCTGTGGGTCTCTGTGTGAGTCTGTGGGTCTCTGTGAGAGTCTGTGGGTCTCTGTGCGAGTCTGTGGGTTTCTGTGCGAGTCTGTGGGTCTCTGTGTGAGTCTGTGGGTCTCTGTGCGAGTCTGTGGGTCTCTGTGTGAGTCTGTGGGTCTCTGTGCGAGTCTGTGGGTCTCTGTGCGAGTCTGTGGGTCTCTGTGCGAGTCTGTGGGTCTCTGTGTGAGTCTATGGGTCTCTGTGTGAGTCTATGGGTCTCTGTGTGAGTCTGTGGGTCTCTGTGTGAGTCTATGGGTCTCTGTGTGAGTCTATGGGTCTCTGTGTGAGTCTGTGGGTCTCTGTGTGAGTCTATGGGTCTCTGTGTGAGTCTGTGGGTCTCTGTGTGAGTCTGTGGGTCTCTGTGTGAGTCTATGGGTCTCTGTGTGAGTCTGTGGGTCTCTGTGTGAGTCTGTGGGTCTCTGTGTGAGTCTATGGGTCTCTGTGTGAGTCTATGGGTCTCTGTGTGAGTCTGTGGGTCTCTGTGTGAGTCTGTGGGTCTCTGTGTGAGTCTGTGGGTCTCGGGAAGAAACAGTAAACCGTGTGTGCGTACGCGTCACGGTCTAGGTGACACACAACAGCCCCGCGGGCACGTAACTAACGCACGCACACACACCAACATGCACACACTCGCACACACTCACGCTCGCACACACGCACACTCACGCACACGCTAACATGCACACGCTCCGCCACACTCACGTACACTCACGCACACACTAACATGCACACGCTCGCACACACTCACGCACACACTAACATGCACACGCTCGCACACACTCACGCACACACTAACATGCACACGCTCGCACACACTCACGCACACACTAACATGCACACGCTCGCACACACTCACGCACACACTAACATGCACACGCTCGCACACTCACGCACACGCTCGCACACTCACGCACACACTAACATGCACACGCTCGCACACTCACGCACTAACATGCACACGCACGCACACACTCGCGCACACGCTAACATGCACACGCTAACATGCACACACTCACGCACACGCTAACATGCACATGCACGCACACACTAACATGCACACTAACATGCACACACTAACATGCACACGCTCGCACACACTCATGCACGCACACACTAACATGCACGCACACAATAACATGCACACGCTCGCACACACTCACGCACACACTAACATATACACGCTCACGCACGCACGCACACACTCACGCACGCACACGCTCACATGCACACGCTCGCACACACTCACGCACGCGCTAACGCCTGTGCGCACTATCGCACTCGCGAGCGTGCCCGGCAAGAGGACAAGCGCGCGTTGCCCAGTCACTGTGCAGCAGTCGCCCGTCCACGGCGATCCCCCCCCCCCCCGCCCCCCACCCTGATTTCGCCGGTGAACTTTCACATCCGCGAGCGACACGGCGATGCCTCGTCGCTGTTGATCGTCGGCGGGGACACAAAGGTTGGTGCCGGGGTGGAAGGGGCGGAGGGGCGGTCACGCCGGAGCTGCGGCGGGGCAGGCGGTGAAACCGAGCGCCGTCAGCGTGGCGGTTCGCTCGAGGTCAGGCGGATTCGTGGCGGGGGAGCGGCGGTGCAGCGGTTGGGGCGCCCGCGCCGAGCTACAAAACCGCCGGCGAGCCGCCGAGTTCGATTCCCGCTCGCCGCCAACGCCGATACCCGGTGACGGCGATTGTCCCGACCGGTCCTGGGCCTCACCTGGGCCTCAAACGAGTACCTGGTGCGGTGTGCAGTAAAACATCGCCACTGGGGAGACAAAGGCGGCCGGGCGTGGTGCTGGCCACCCATCCCCTCGTGTGCCGTGCCGGCCTTCGTAGGTGCGCTACTTGTTAACGGCGAGTAGCGCACCTAAGAACCGGTTCAGATATTCGTCACCGTTGTTGGCCGTGAGCGGGAATCGAACTCGGGTCGGCTTGGTTCGTGGCGCAGCGTAGCGCTAGCCGCTACAACGAGTACACCACACTTAGATACCCACACGCCCGCCCACCAGCTTGTTCACTCACTCACTTCATTTGACCCCAATATGCGGGAGAGAGAGAGAGAGAAAGAGGGAGAGAGAGAGACAGGATGAGAGGGAGAGACAGGGGGAGCGAGATATACAGGGAGAGAGAGAGACGGGTTGAGAGAGACAGGGTGAAAGAGACAGAGAGAGACGGGGAGAGAGAGACAGCGAGAGAGACAGCGAGAGAGACAGAGGGAGACAGAGAGAGAAAAGACAGAGAGACAGACACAGAGAGAGAGAAACCGAGAGAGAGACACAAAGAGAGACGGGGAGAGAGAGAGACAGCGAGAGAGACAGCGAGAGAGACAGAGAGAGACACAGAGGAAAGACAGAGAGACAGACACACAGAGACAGAGAGACCGAGAGAGAGACACAAAGAGAGAGACACAAAGAGAGAGACGGGGAGAGAGAGAGGCAGCGAGAGAGACAGAGAGAGAGACAGCGAGAGAGGCAGAGAGAGACAAAGAGAGAGAAAAGACAGAGAGACAGACACACAGAAACAGAGAGACCGTGAGAGAGAGAGAGACAAAGAGAGAGACGGGGAGAGAGACAGAGAGACACACAGAGAAAAGACAGAGAGGCAGACACACAGAGACAGAGAGACCGTGAGAGAGAGAGACACACAAAGAGAGAGACAGAGAGACCGTGAGAGAGACAGCGAGAGAGACAGCGAGAGAGACAGAGAGAGACACAGAGAGAGAAAAGACAGAGAGAGACACAGAGAGAGAAAAGACAGAGAGACAGAGACACCGTGAGAGAGAGAGACACACAGAGAGAGAGAGAGACAGAGAGACAGCGAGAGAAACAGAGGGAGACACAGAGAGAGAAAAGACAGAGAGACACACAGACAGAGAGACCGTGAGAGAGACACAAAGAGAGAGACGGGGAGAGAGAGACAGAGAGAGACACACAGAGAGAAAAGACAGAGAGACAGACACACAGAAACAGAGAGACCGTGAGAGAGAGACACAAAGAGAGAGAGACAGAGAGACAGCGAGAGAGACAGAGAGAGAGACACACAGAGAGAAAAGACAGAGAGACAGACACACAGAGACAGAGAGACCGTGAGAGAGACACAGAGAGAGAGAGAGAGACAGGGAGAGAGAGAGAGACAGCGAGAGAGACAGCGAGAGAGACAGCGAGAGAGACAGCGGGAGACACAGAGAGAGAAAAGACAGAGAGACAGACACACAGAGACAGAGAGACCGTGAGAGAGAGAGACACAGAGAGAGACACAGAGAGACAGGGAGAGGGCGAGACAGAGCGAGAGCGTGCGTGCTCTCTCCGTGGCACCCTCATGCGAGCGTGCTAGCGAGCGCTGCGGGGGGAATGCGAGAGCCGTCGCGGACAGCGCTCGTGATGATGTGGACGACGATGAGGGCGGCATTGAGGAATGACGCTAAGAGCCTCTCTCTCTCTCTCTCTTAGTTACAAAAAAAATATCGAAAAATGTTTTTTTCTCTCTGTCTCTTAAAATATTTCCCAGTGACTTGGAGAGGCAAAGGTGGGGGGTGTGGGGGGGGAACGTGGGGGGATCATAATGTACGTGTCCTGTGTTGGAGCCCTGGGTGTGTGTCTCTGTCTCTCTGGGGGTTCATAATGTACGTGTCCTGTGTTGGAGCCCTGGGTGTGTCTCTCTGTCTGTCTCTCTAGGGGTTCATAATGTACGTGTCCTGTGTTGGAGCCCTGTGTGTGTCTCTGTCTCTCTGGGGGTTCATAATGTACGTGTCCTGTGTTGGAGCCCTGGGTGTGTGTCTCTGTCTCTCTGGGGGTTCATAATGTACGTGTCCTGTGTTGGAGCCCTGGGTGTGTCTCTCTGTCTGTCTCTCTAGGGGTTCATAATGTACGTGTCCTGTGTTGGAGCCCTGTGTGTGTCTCTGTCTCTCTGGGGGTTCATAATGTACGTGTCCTGTGTTGGAGCCCTGTGTGTGTCTCTCTCTCTGTCTCTCTAGGGGTTCATAATGTACGTGTCCTGTGTTGAGAGCCCTGGGTGTGTGCCTCTCTCTCTGTCTCTCTAGGGGTTCATAATGGCCGTGTTAGAGACACTGAGAGCCTGGGTTGGAGCCCTGGGTCAGTGTCTCTCTCTCTCTCCCCTTCCCCTCTCTCTTCCTGCTACCTCTCTCCTGTGTCTCTCTCCCTTCTCTCTCTCTCCCCTTACCTCTCTCCCCTTACCTCTCTCCTCCCTCTCTCCCTCAATCCTCCCTCCATCCCCCACTCTCTCCCTTGTCTCGCCCATGTCTCTCTCTCTCTCTCTCTACTCCCCGTACGGTGTCAAAAACTTCCCCCAAAAGTTGTCACAACAAACACGGTGGGGGAAGTGGTGGTGGTGGGGGGTGGCCTGGGGGGTGGGGGGGGGATGGAGGGTAGGGGCACCCCCGATTCTCCGTGTCGGGTGTCAGGCTGATGGAGCAGAGTTGGCCGTGGTTGCAGGATGGGCGGTGGTGGTGATGCTGGTTACGGTGGTGTGGTGATGGTGGTGTTTGCCGGTGGTGGGTGTTGGCTGTGGTGACGCCACCGCCACTTAGTGGTGAATGGTGGCTGTTGCGGGTCGTGGTAGCTACAGTGGTCTTGATGATGACGATGGTGGTAGTGGTGACAGAGGTGATTTGTTCTGTTTAGGGTGGGTGGTGCTGGTGGCTGTGATGATGGTGATGGTTGTTGTGTTTAGGGTGGGTGTTGGTGGCCGTGATGATGATGGTGGTGATGGTGGTTGTTGTATTCATGGTGTGGGGAGCGGTAGTGTAGCGGTTAGCGCTACGCTGCGCTATGAACCTGGCGATCAGAGTTCGATTCCTGCTCACGGCCAACACCGGTGACGATTATCTGAACGGGTCCTGGGCCTCTTCTAGGTCGACTCGGCCTCAAATGAGTACCTGGTGCGATGTGTAAACATCGCCACTAGGGGAGACAAAGGCGGCCGGGCGTGGTGTTGGCCACCCACCCCCTTGTGTGCATTGCCGGCCTTTATAGGTGCTCGCTAACAGCACTTGCCCCCACAGTCTGTTAAGGCTATACGGGTGATATTTATCCTTGTGTTTATGCTGGGTTGTGGTAGCCATGATGATGGTGATGGTAGAGATGGTGATAATGGTGGTGATGGTGGTTGTTGTGTTTAGGGTGGGTGGTGATGGCCGTGATGATGATGGTGGTGGTGATGGCGGAGATGGTGATAATTATAGCGGTGATGGTGGTGGCTGTGTTGAGTGTGGATCGTGGAAGTGATAGTGGTCGTGATGATGGTGGTGGTGATGGAGATGGTGATAATGATAGTGGTGGCGATGACGAGTGAGCGTTAAAGCGGATGAGTCTGTCCGCAAGATGTGAGCAAGTGCATGTGTTGGTGAGCACGTGGGCGAGTGAGTAGATGAACGAGTGAGTAGGCGAGTGCACGTGAGCGGATGACTGTAGCGGTGGGTGAGCAAGTGGGCGGGTGAGTAGCGGGGCAAGTGAGTGTGTGGGTGAGTGAACGTGTTGGTGAGCGAGCGGGTGAGTCACGAGGTTAGTGAGCATGTGAGTGAGCAAGTGTGTGGGTGAGCAAGCGTGTGGGTGAGCGAGCGTGTGGGTGAGCGAGCGTGTGGGTGAATGAGCGTGTGGGTGAATAAGCGTGTGGGTGAACGAGCATGTGGGTGAGCGAGCGTGTGGGTGAGCGAGGGGGTGAATCGCGAGGCGAGTGAACGTGTGGGCGAGTGAGCGTGTGGGGGCGAGCGAGCGTGTGGGTGATCGAGCGTGTGGGTGATCGAGCGTGTGGGTGAGCGAGCGTCTGGGTAAGCGAGCGTGTGGGTGGGCGAGCGGGTGAGAAGCCAGGTGAGCGAACGTGTGGGTGAATGAGCGTGCGGGTGAGCGAGCGGGCGATTAACGAGGCGAGCGAGCGTGCGGGTGAGCGTGCGTGCGTGCGAGCGACCGAGCGAGTCAGCCAGCGACGAGCCTCTTGCCTGCAGAGTCTTTCCGAGTCCCATGCAGTGAGCGAGGATGCACCCAGACCCCGGCTCCTTCTTGGCCTTCTTCACGGTCTCAATGCAGCAGTCCCACATGAACTGCACCCCTACGCTCGACAAAACACACACAAAGACAAAGGTCCCCCGCGCGCCACCAGTGTGGCCTTAACACGCTGTCCGGGGGGGCAAGTGCTGCTAAGCGGAGGAGGCCTCGCCACCGGCGCCCCGTCCGCCTCTGTCTCTCCCGCCCATCGGCGACGCTTCACAGGGCCAAAGGAACTTGTTTTAAGGTGGAGGGTCTCGGGGAAACACTCAAATATTCGCCAGAGGCATCGGTCGCGAGCAGGAATCCAACTCCAGCGGCCGTGCTCTGGGGAGCAGCTGCCCGCTAACCGCTAATCGCTCCCCACACACGCCAACAAAGACAAAGGTCCCCCGTGTAGCCTGTAACAGACTGTTGGGGCAAGTGCCGTCAGCGGGCACCTATGAAGACCGGCACGGCACACGAGGGGGTGGGTGTCGGCCAGCACAATCACGCCCAGGCCACCTTTGTCTCCCCAGTTGGCGATGTTTATTGCACACCGCACAGGGAACTCATTTGAGGGCGAGTCGACTTAGGGGAGGCCCAAGGCACACTCGAATGTTCGCAGTCAACGTTGTCCATCATCACATCATGAGGTTGGCCAGTAGGTAGGCAGGTAGGCGCAGGTGGGTTATGCAGGTGGGTAGGCATGTACGTAGGTATACAGTAAAACCTTGGATTGCGAGCATAATTCGTTCCGGAAACGTGTTTGTAATCCAAAGCACTCGAAAATCAAAGCACTCGTACATCAGTTGTGATCACGTGACGCTCGGCAGTACAAAGCGTATACGTACGTACTGCTCGTATTGCAAGACCTCGCTCGTTTATCAAATTAATATTTATTTTAAAAATGTGCTCGTCTTGCAAAACACCCGTAGACCAAGTTACTCGCATTCCAAGGTTTTACTGTACAGGTCTGAACGTGGGTAAGGTAGATTGGTAGGCAGGTAAACAAGAAGGTTAGTACACAGGTGTATATGCAAGTGTGATCGTGGATAGGCAGGTAAGTATACAGATGGGCGGGCAGGTAGGCAAGTGCACAGGTGTATGCAGGCATGAATGTGGGTAGGTCGATGGGTTTGGCAGGTATATGGCTGGGTAAGCACAGGGGTGCATGCAGGCATGAATGTGGGTATGCAGGTGGGTAGGCAGGAAGGGAAGGGAGGGAGGGAGGGTGAGCGAGTGAGGATAAAACAAACACACACACAGGTAAAGAAATGAGACCCACATGGCGCGCATTAGATTACAGCCTTGGCCAAGCGGCGGAGACGTGTGTGTACGTGTGCATGTGTGCGTGTGCATGTGTGTGCGTGCGTGTGTCAGTGTGAGGGTGTGTGCGTACGTGTGAGTGTGTGCGTGTGCATGCGTGCTTGCGTGTGTGAGTGTGTCAGTGTGAGTGCGTCAGTGTGAGGGTGTGAGTGTGTGCCTGAGTGTGTGAGTGCGTCAGTGTGAGGGTGTGTGCATACGTGTGAGTGTGTGCGTGCGCGTGCGTGCGTGTATGTACGTGTGCGTGCGTGTGTGTGCGTGCGTGAGTGCGCCAGTGTGAGTGCGTCAGTGTGAGTGCGTCAGTGTGAGGGTGTGTGCGTGCGTGTGTGTGCCTGAGTGCGTGAGTTCGTTAGTGAGGGTGTGTGCGTGTGTGTGCCTGAGTGCCCCTGTGTGTGGGTGTGTGTGTGGGGAGCGGTAGCGTAGCGCTTAGCGCCACGCTGCGCCATGAACCCGGTGGCCCGAGTTTGATTCCCGCTCACGGCCAACACCGGTGACGATTATCTGAACCGGTTATGGGCCTCCCCTAGGTCGACTCAGCATCAAATGAGTACCTGGTGCGGTGTGTAAACATCGCCACTGGGGAGACAACGGCGGTCGGGCGTGGTGCTGGCCACCCACCCCTTCGTGTACCGGTCCGGCCATCATAGGTTCTCGCTAACAGCACACTTGTCCCTACAGTCTGTTCAGGCTACGCGGGGGATCTTTGTCTTTGTGTGCGAGTGAGTGTGTGTGTGAGAACCCCCCGTACAGCGTACGCAAGCAGTTGGGGGCAAGTGCTGTTAAGCGGAGTGGCATTTACGAAGGATGGCACGGCGTAAGATGGGTTGAGTGGCCCAGCATCACGCCTGACTGCCTTTGCCTCCACAGTGGCGATGTTTAAACACCGCACCAGGTACTAATTTGAGGCCGAGCCGACCTAGGGGAGGCTCGGGACCGTTTCAGATATTCGTCACCGGTGTTGGCCGTGAGCGGGAATCGAACTCGGGCCACTGCCGGGTTCGTAACTACGCGCGCTAACCGCTACACCGCCACCGCTCCCCACATGCACACGCGCGCGCACACACACACACACAGACATTTTAAAAAAGTAATCAAATGACAAAAACCTTGAGAGAAATGTAAAAAAACGACGATTCAAACGGCACGGCAATATCTCGGACGCAAACAGCCAGGGAGCGCAGGTGGAGGATGGATGAGGAAGAGAATGGAGGGAGGGAGGATGATGGAGGATGGATGAGGATGGAGGATGGAGCGAGGGTATGGAGGATAGGTGGTGATTTGTCAAGGTGGCGGTAACGGAATTACCATTTCATTATTTTTTTTATTTTCTTCTTCAAGGGCCGCAGCTTTGTTCCAAAATATGTCCCCCCCCCATCGTCCCCGAACTTAGTGGCGTGTTTTTCTGAAATCCAAGACCCTCGCACTCTCTCGCTCCCTCACACTCGCCATCCCTCTCTCCCGCTCAGCCTCTCTCTCTCCCTCTCTCTCTAGCTCTCTCTCCCTCTCTAGCTCTCTCACTCCCTCTCTCTAGCTCTCTCACTCCCTCTCTCTCGCTCTCTCTAGCTCTCTCTCTCACTCCCTCTCTAGCCCTCTCTCTCTAGCTCTCTCTCACTCCCTCTCTAGCTCTCTTTCTTCCCTTCACTCTCTCGCTCCCTCCCTCTAGCTCACTCCCTCTCTCTCTCGCGCTCTCTCTAGCTCTCTCTCTCGCACTCTCTCTAGCTCTCTCTCTCTAGCTCTCTCTCTCTAACTCTCTCTCTCTAACTCTCTCTCTCTAACTCTCTCTCTCTAACTCTCTCTCTAGCTCTCTCTCTCTAGCCCTCTCTCTCTAACGCTCTCTCTAGCTCTCTCTCTCTAGCCCTCTCTCTCTAACGCTCTCTCTAACTCTCTCTCTCTCTAGCTCTCTCGCTCCCTCTCTAGCCCTCTCTAGCTCTCTCTCTAGCTCTCTCTCTAGCTCTCTCTCTAGCTCTCTCTCTAGCTCTCTCTCTAGCTCTCTCTAGCTCTCTCTCTCTCTAGCTCTCTCTCTAGCTCTCTCTCTAGCTCTCTCTCTAGCTCTCCCTCTCGCTCCCACTCTCTAGCTCTCTCTCTAGCTCCCTCTCGCTCCGTCGCTCTCTCTCTCACTCTCTCGCTCTCTCTCTCTCGCTCCCTCTCTCTCTCGTTCTGTCGCTCTCTCTCACTCTCGCTCCGTCGCTCTCTCGCGCTCTCTCTCACTCTCCCTCTCTCTCGCTCCGTCGCTCTCTCTCGCTAGCTCCCTCTCTCTCTCGCTCCCTCTCTCGCTCCGTCGCTCTCTCTCTCGCTCCGTCGCTCTCTCTCTCGTTCCCTCTCTCTAGCTCTCTCGCTCTCTCTCACTCCCTCTCTCGTTCCCTCTCTCTAGCTCTCTCGCTCTCTCTCACTCCCTCTCTCTCTAGCTCTCTCTAGCTCTCTCGGGCTCTCTCACTCCCTCTCTCTCTAGCTCTCTCGCTCTGTCGCACTCTCTCTAGCTCTCTCTATCACTCTCTCTCCCCGTGATCCTTCTCTTCTCTCTGCAGTGGCGGTTGTAGATTTCTAAAATTAATTTTTCCATCACATTCAATCGTGAGCGCCACGCTCCTACCCACACGTCCGAGCGAGTGGTGAGCACGGGTGAGTGAGTTGTGAGAGTCGGCAAGTGGTGAGCGTCGGTGAGCGAGCCTCACCGTCCACCTGGCGAGCCTTGAGCTTACACACGTGGGTGAGCGTGGGTGAGCGTGGCTTGGTGGTGAGCATCGGTGAGGGATCCTCACCGTCCACCTGGTGAGGCTTGAGCTTGGACACGCCGGAGTGAGCGAGTGAGCGTGGGCGAATGGGCGAGCGAGCGGTTGGTGAGCGAGTGGCGGTGAGAGATCCTCACCGTCCACCTGATGAGACTTAGCGCTTGGACACGCCGGAGTAAGCGAGTGAGCGTGGGCGAATGGGCGAGCGAGTGGCGAGCGAGCGGTTGGTGAGCGAGTGGCGGTGAGAGATCCTCACCGTCCACCTGATGAGGCTTGAGCTTGCACACGCCGGAGTGAGCGAGTGAGCGTGGGCGAATGGGCGAGCGAGCGGTTGGTGAGCGAGTGGCGGTGAGGGATCCTCACCGTCCACCTGGTTGAGGCTTGAGCTTGCACACGAGGGAGCGCAGCACCTCCACGACGGGCTCGTGGGTCTCGGGGTCCTCCTCCAGCACGAGCTTCGTGGTGATGGGGCACGGTGCGATCGCCTCATCCTCGATCACGATCACCTGCACCACACACGGGCGGTCACGCACAGTCACGCACAGTCACGCACGGGCGGTCACGCACAGTCACGTACAGTCACGCACAGGCACGCACAGTCACGCACGGGCGGTCACGCACGGTCTGTCACGCACAGTCACGCACGGGCGGTCACGCACGGTCTGTCACGCACAGTCACGTACAGTCACGCACAGGCACGCACGGGCGGTCACGCACTGGCACGCACGCAGAGTAACGCACGCACAGGCATACACGGGCACGCCAGCCCATAACACAAACGAGCTAATTAACTAGCGAGCGAGCGAGCGTTTTAACTCTTGCAGCATCATCCCGCTCGTTCCTAGGCGGCCACACAGCACCGCTCCTCCTCCTGCAGCGCCTGTCGCGTCCCCTAACCATCATCACACTAACGAGTGAACCAACTAGCTAACCAATCAGCGACTCGGCTCACGCAGCTCGTCCTGCTTGAATCTAATCGGCCAACAGAGCGCCGCTCCTGCTCCTCCGCCCGCTGCGTCTGCCCTGTGACCCTCTGACCATCACGCCAAGCATCATCTCGCTAACTGGTTTACCGACCAGCAACTCGCCTCGCTCAGCTCGTCCCGCTTCTCCTCTTCCCCGAGCGCCCGCTGCGTCTACCCCGTGACCCTCTAAGCATCACGCTAGCTCGTTAACTAGCGAACCGACTAGCGAGCGACTCGCCCCGTCAGCTCGTCGCCCTCTTCACTCGCGCTCGGTGACACGCCGCTCCTCCTCCTCTTCCACCAGCGCCAGCTGCGTCTCCTCTGTGCCCCTCTATCACGCTAACTAGTTAACTAGTTAACCAGCCAACTAACAGGCTAGCGGCTCGCCTCGCGCAGCTCATCGCGCTTGGTGACACGCCGCTCCGCTCCTCCTCCTCCAGCGCCCGCTGCGTCTACTCTGTGACCCTCTGACCATCACGCTAACCACCATCACGCTAACCAGTTAACTAGTTAACGAGTTGACCGGCGAACTGATGAGCTAGCGACTCGCCTGGCGCAGCTTATCGCTCTCGGTGACAGCCGCTCCTCCTCCTCCTCCAGTGCCCGCTGCGTCTACTCTGTGACCCTCTGACCATCACGCTAACCAGCTAACGCTAACCAGCTAACGAGTTAACCGACTAACTAGTTGACGAGCTAGCGACTCGCCTGGCGCAGCTTATCGCTCTCGGTGACAGCCGCTCCTCCTCCTCCTCCAGTGCCCGCTGCGTCTACTCTGTGACCCTCTGACCATCACGCTAACCAGCTAACGAGTTGACCGGCGAACTGATGCGCTAGCGACTCGCCTCGCGCAGCTTGTCGCGCTCCTTCTCGCGCTCGGCGACGCGCCGACGCCTCTCCTCCTCTTCCTTGAGCGCCTGCTGCGTCTCGTCGCGCAGCTTCGTGTCCTTGATGATCTTGCGGATCTTCTTGCGCCCCTTGCCGGGCGACTTGGAGTCGTCGTCGTCCGAGCCGCCCTCCTCGTCCGAGCTGCCCTCGTCGTCAGAGCCCTTCCTCTTCTTCTTCCTCCTCCTCTTGCGCTTGCGATCGCTCTCGTCCGAGTTCTGGCGGCCGGTGATGGCGGTGATGGTGGAGGAGGGGTGGAGGAGGGGTTAGGGGTCGAATCAACGGACGCCGTCATCAGTGACATCATCGTCAGCATCGTCAACATTGTCCTCATCATCGTCAACTACGGGTCTCTGTGCGAGTCTACGGGTCTCTATGTGAGTCTACGGGTCTGTGTGCGAGTCTATGGGTCTCTATGTGAGTCTATGGGTCTCTGTGCGTGTCTACGGGTCTCTGTGCGAGTCTACAGGTCTCTGTGTGAGTCTATGGGTCTCTGTGCGAGTCTACGGGTCCATGTGCGAGTCTACGGGTCTCTGTGCAAGTCTACGGGTCTCTGTGCGAGTCTACGGGTCTCTGTGCGAGTCTACGGGTCTCTGTGTGAGTCTATGGGTCTCTATGTGAGTCTACGGGTCTCTGTGCGAGTCTATGGGTCTCTATGTGAGTCTATGGGTCTCTGTGCGAGTCTACGGGTCTATGTGCGAGTCTACGGGTCTCTATGTGAGTCTATGGGTCTCTGTGTGAGTCTGTGGGTCTCTGTGCGAGTCTACGGGTCTCTATGCGAGTCTACGGGTCTCTGTGCGAGTCTACAGGTCTCTGTGCGAGTCTACGGGGTCTCTGTGCGAGCCTACGGGTCTCTGTGCGAGTCTATGGGTCTCTGTGCGAGTCTACAGGTCTCTGTGTGAGTCTATGGGTCTCTGTGCGAGTCTACGGGTCTATGTGTGAGCCTACGGGGTCTCTGTGCGAGTCTACGGGGTCTCTGTGCGAGTCTACGGGGTTTCTGTCTAGACTTGAGATCCCGGTTTAAATCACAGGGTCAAGGCTGGGAGAGGAGGTTTAGGGAGCACGGCCAATTTTACCGCCGCGCAAAGAAAGCAGCCCGCGGCAATTGCTCCGGCACCGCTGGCTTCAGGGAGCGCGGCGAATCGGGGACGCTACCTCGTCGGACGAAGACTCCTGGACCTTGATGCGTCGCCGCTTTTTCTTCTGCTTGTAGCTCCGCTGCGTCTCCTCCTCCCCCAGCTTCTTTGACGACCTTCGACCCCCCCCCCCCGAACACACGCCGCTCGCTCACCCACTCAAAGGACAAAGATTCCACCCCGCCCCCCCCCCCCCGACCCCGCTCGTATAGACCAGTTGGGGGGCGCTAAGTGCCGATGTGTCATGGCGAGCGGCACCACCTGAAGGCCGGCACGCGGCGCCACGCGGCGGGCGGGCGGGCGGCCTTCGGTCTCCCCCAACGGTGATGTTCACGACACACACAACGCGTGCCGGGATACTCGCAACGAACAACAACAAGACGGGCCGTTGGGGCCCCGAGTGCTGTTCTCGGAGTGGCCGTACACACAAAAAAAACCACGCCCGCCCGGCCGGCTTTGTGTCCCCGGCAGCGATGTTTAACTCCACACCGCACCGGGCCGAGTCGATCTCATTTGAGGCCGAGTCGATCTAGAGCAGGGGTCACCAAACTACAGCCCGCGGGCCGGATCCGGCCCGCGACGGCAGCCCTTCAGGCCCGCCGACGGTACTTGAATTTGGTTGATAAAACGTATGGAACACGAGACGTTGTGATACAATTTAAATATTATGTTTAGAATACGAGGAGATCTTCACGCGTGCGGAGACCTCCTGACTGCTATGTTCCTCAAATGTACTATTTTATATTTTAAATTATTGTATCTAGATTTTCTTGTTTATGGTAACGTTTGCTTATTTCGCGCCTTCCCAAGTACTTCCCCGGCTCGTGGTAGCTCCGCCTTACGCTCTGACGTTACCATGGTTTCCAGGGCAACGTCATGGCAACACGTTACCACGGTTTCCATGGCAACACACACAAACACGCATCTTTCCCGCCCCCAGATTTTCCCAGCTGTCAGCACAGGTCCGACGCTACAGAAATATTTATTCATTACGCGGCCCTTGCGCTCGTCATTCTTTCAGTTATCCGGCCCACTGTGAAAAAAGTTTGGCGACCCCTGATCTAGAGGGAGACCCCAGGGCCGGTTCAGACAATCGTCGCCGATATCGGCCGTGAACGGGAATCGAGCGGTGTTGGTTAGCGCGGTGCGCTGACCGCTACGCTCCGACACATCAGACCGACGCCGTGGCACGATCGCACAAACCAACACGCAATGGGAAAACAAAAACCAGAGAGAGACACACACACACAACACGTGACACTTAACCGCACCACTGGAACAAAGATAACAAAGACTTAAGATCCCACGTGCAGCCTCAACAGACTGTTGGGGCAAGCGCTGTTAGGGAGCAGCACCTGTGAAGGCCGGCACAGGACGCCAAGGGGGTGGGTGGCCAGCACCACGCCCGGCCGCCTTTGTCTCCCCGGTGCTAGCGATGTTTACTACACACCGTACCAGGTACTCATTTGAGGCTGAGTCGACGTAGAGGGAGGCCCGGGGGGGGGGGGCGATCTGCAAGGTCGGAAGTCGTCGATCGCACGGCCGATGATTTGGGTCCGATAACCGAGACCCTTTGACAGTAAATAAATGAATAAGCTCGCGGAAAAAATAAAAAAAAACAACAGGCCGAGGCGTAGCCCTGCAAGCGCCCACCCGCGCCACTGCCGGCGGATGGGGCCTCCGCTCTAGAGGGAGCCCCCCAGCGACGCGCCGTCTCTGTTAAGACTCCTCGAAGTTTCGTGCTGCTAAGCGGGCGGCGCCCTATGAAGGTCGGCAGGAGGGGAGGGGGTGGGGACATTATTTTACTGCCGAGCGGACCTAGGCAAGGGCGAGGAGGGCTGCACCTGGTCTTGTAGGACTTCTTCTTCTTGCTGTCCGACTGCGAGTCGGAGGTCGTCCCGTCCAGCTCGGACTTGCGCAGAGACCCAGAGCTCCCCTCCTCCTCCGCCTCGTCGTCCTCAGAATCGTCGTCGCTGTCTGAGGGGGGTCGCAGTGCAAGAGGGGGGAGAGCGTCGGCACCATCAATCATCATCATCATCAGCAGCAGCAGCAGCAGTTGGCATCATCATCATCAGCAGCAGCAACAACATGATAATCAGCAGCAATGTCAGCAGAGTAATTATCACCGCGGGAGGACAAAGATTAAAGAAATGGAGACACGGGGAGACACACAAGGGAGACACACAAGGGAGACACCGGTGAGATGTGGGGAGACATGGTGGAGATGCAGTGAGAGGTGGGGAGACATGGGGGAAACCTGGGGAGACGCGGGAAGACATGGGAGAGACGCGGGGAGACACACACGGGAGACATGGGGGAGACGCGGGGAGACACACATGGGAGACATGGGGAAACCTGGGGAGACACGGAGAGACACACACGGGAGACATGGGATAAAACCTGGGGAGACACACACGGGAGACATGGGGGAGACGCGGGGAGACACACACGGGAGACATGGGGGAGACGCGGGGAGACACACACGGGAGACATGGGGGAGACGCGGGGAGACACACATGGGAGACATGGGGAAACCTGGGGGAGACACGGAGAGACACACACGGGAGACATGGGATAAAACCTGGGGAGACACACACGGGAGACATGGGGGAGACGCGGGGAGACACACACGGGAGACATGGGGGAGACGCGGGGAGACACACACGGGAGACATGGGGGAGACGCGGGGAGACATGGGGGAGACGCGGGGAGACACACACGGGAGACATGGGGGAGACGCGGGGAGACACACGGGAGACATGGGGGAAACCTAGGGAGACACACACGGGAGACATGGGATAAAACCTGGGGAGACACACACGGGAGACATGGGGGAGACGCGGGGAGACACACGGGAGACATGGGGGAAACCTAGGGAGACACACACGGGAGACATGGGGGAGACGCGGGGAGACACACACGGGAGACATGGGGGCAACGCGGGGAGACACGGTGTGGGGGGAACGCCCACCGGCCGTGTTGATGCCCCGGTTGGGTTTGCGTCGAGGCTTCTTGGGCGTCCGCTCCTCGTCATCCTCCTCCTCCTCGTCGCCCTCCTCCTTCCCCTCCTGCTCGCCGCGCGCGCACAGCAGCCCACCGCGCGTCACCCACGGCCCACGCAGGGCGGCCCCCCACCCCGACGGCAACAACGCCAAGCGGCCAGTAACAAACTGCACCGTTCAACGGGCGACACGCGGCTCTTAGCGAGTTGTTAACGCGGGTCTGAAATCGAGCGACGTTGTCGTTGTTGTTGTCGTAGCAGGAAGAGTTTGGGGGGTGAAGAGACAGTGCTGAGCGAGTGGGCGAGTGAGCGAGCGAATGAGTGAGTGGGCGAGTGAGCGAGCGAGTGAGTGAATGAGCGAGTGAAGGAGTGAATGGGCGAGTGCGCGAGTGGGCGAGCGAGCGAATGAGTGAGTGGGCGAGTGAGCGAGCGAGTGAGTGAATGAGCGAGTGAAGGAGTGAGTGGGCGAGTGGGCGAGCGAGCGAATGAGTGAGTGGGTGAGTGAGCGAGCGAGTGAGTGAATGAGCGAGTGAAGGAGTGAATGGGCGAGTGAGCGGGGTGGACGAGCGGGTGGGCGAGCGAGCAGGCGGTTGAGCGAGCAGCGGGCGTGTGAGCGAATGAACATGTTAGCGGGCCAGTGAGCAAGCGAGCGAGCGGGCGAGTGAGGAGCGAGCGAGTTGCGCAATCAGGCGAGTGAGCGAGGAGCGAGTGAGGAGCGAGCGAGTGCCCGAGCGGGCGAGCGAATGAGGGGGCGAGTAAATGAGCGAGCGAGTTGCGCAATCAGGCGAGTGAGCGAAGAGCGAGCGAGTGAGGAGCGAGCGAGTGCCCGAGCAGGCGAGCGAGCGAGCGAGGGGGCGAGTAAATGAGCGAGCGAGGAGCGACCTTGGTCCCCTTGCGTGCGCGTGCCGAGTCCGAGTCGCTCTCCACCAGCTTGTGGCGCAGGAGGTGGTGGCGGAAGCGCGACTTGTTGGGGATCTCGAAGTCCGAGTCGGAGCCGCCGCCGCCGTCGTCATCGGCCTCTGCCTCGTCCTCCTCCTCCTCCTCCGCGCCGTCACCGCTGCCTGGGAGGGCGAAACAGAATCCGCGTGTCGAGCGGCAGCAGCAGCAGCAGCAGGAGGAGGAGGAATCCGATGAGCTATGAAGTCACTCACGGGTTACCAGTCGGGGGCACGGGGTCAGCGAGTTGCAACGGCAAACGATACAGCAACTCACCCACAGAGCCACCCACCTCACCCATCAAGTCACCCATCGAGTAACCCACCTTACCACCCACCCCCTGGGTGTCTCTCTCTCTCGCCACCCTTCTCTCTGTGGGTTCATCATAGCGGTCGTGTCAAAGACCCCGAGTTGACACGGATGAGAGAATGACTGAGACCGAGGTCTGGGTCGTATCCACTGCTGGATAAATAATAATGTGATGATGTCTCGACCCTGTGTTCCTCTCATTGTAATGAATCATCACCACCATGGTGAATCCACCACTGTTTAAAGCTCAAATGTGATGACGATGTCTCTAATCCGCGTGCTCCTCTCTCTGTCTTACGCTGTATGAATGACAGCACCAACACCTAATGCACGACATCTTTATTACATTTTCATTCTCTCAAGTTCAAGTGCCATGGAAGAAGGGCCATTGCGTGAAATGTCAACCTCTTAAATTATTTTCCTTTTACGGCCAGGCACAAAGACAGAGGAGCCCCCGTGTAGCCTTAACAGACTGTCGGAGCAAGGGCTGTTAACGGCAGCGATGTTGACCACACACCAGGTACTCATTTAAGGCCGAGTCGATCTAGCGGGAGGCCCAGGGACCGCTTCAGGTAATCGTTGGTGGCGGCCGTGAGCGGGAATCGAACCCGGGTCTCCGCCGGGTTCGGAGCGCGGCGCTAACCGCTACACCTCCGCTCTCGCCCAAGGAAAAGGTAAACATTTAACAAAGTAACATTCCAACGGATATTTTTCTCGTGTTATTATTATAAAAAAGAAAGATGATGACGGTGATAAGAATAATAAATGCTCGGCGTGTCTTTCCGCTGCTTTCGAGACGCCACGACGGTGACAGACACATCCACCGCCACTGCCGCCGCCACCACCACCACCACCACACCCCCGCCATCACCACCACCACCACCACTACCACCACGATAGTGGCAATGTTCCTGTAACGATGGCGGCGGCGATGATGATGGTGGTGGTGGTGGTTAAGGCGGAGCTGTGACCACGATCGCCGGCATCGTCACCTCACCTCCTTCATCTCCCTTGCTCCTCTTCTTCCCGGCCGCCTGCGCATCTTCCTTATCGTCTTCCTCCGATGAGCTGTCCTCTCCCGACAGCTTCCCCACCATGATCTCTTGCAGCAGCATAGACTTGGCGATTCTTAGCACACAAAGGAAAAGGTCCCCCCCCCCCCCCGTTGTAGCCTTCGACAGACTGCTGGGGCAAGTGCCGTCAGCGAGCAGCAGGACGGCACGCGAGGGGGTTGGGTGGCCAGCACCACGGCCGCCCGGCCGTCTTTATCTCCCCAGCGGCGATGTTTACACACCGCGCAATGTACTCGTTTGAGGCCGAGTCGACCTAGGGGAGGGCCCAAGACCGGTTCACTTAATCGTCACCGGAGTTGGCCGTGAGCGGGAATCGAACTCGGCCCGCCGGGTTTGTAACGTAGGGCGCTAACCGCTGCGCGTGCACACACATGTACACGCACACGTACACACACCTGTGTATACACACGCAGACGTGCACACACATGTACACACACACACACCTGTGTATACACACGCAGACGTGCACACACATGTACACACACACACACCTGTGTATACACACGCAGACTTGCACACACATGTACACACACACCTGTGTATACACACGCAGACTTGCACACACATGTACACACACACCTGTGTATACACACGCAGACTTGCACACACATGTACACACACACACACCTTTGTATACACACGCAGACTTGCACACACATGTACACACACACCTTTGTATACACACGCAGACTTGCACACACAAGTATATACACACACACACACCTGTGTAAACACACGCAGACTTGCACACACATGTACACACACACACACCTGTGTAAACACACGCAGACTTGCACACACATGTACACACACACACACCTGTGTATACACATGCAGACTTGCACACACATGTACACACACACACCTGTGTATACACAACAACAACAACAACCGCCATTCGCCACTAAGTGGCGGTGACGTCACCACGACGCTTGTGCCAGGCTATGTGCACCCTGAGGCCACGTGAAGTGTCGAACGCCCGCTGGCAGGAGGTCACGGGGCAGACCCAGGTGCCACGGGTCGACTGACTGAGATGACTGGCTGATGCACCACCTGTGCCCCCTACTGTGCCAACCTGCTGTGCTTTAGCCACCCGGCGCTCCGCTCGCTGTTGTGAGCGTCGCTCCTCCGCCCTCCGTTGTTGTTGGAGGGCGACTGCCTCCAACTGCCCAGTAGCATCCTTCACGAGCCTCCTCCACAGAGGCCGATCTTGACACCGCTGGTACCAGTCATCGGCAAGTCCACTCAGCTCCACGTCCTCCTATACCACATCACTCCATCTCTTCTCTAGCCCGTGCCGCGCCCGCTTAGCCCCCTCAATCCGGCCAAACAAAAGCTGTTTCGGCATGCGGTGGCTGGGCATGCGGGCTACATGACCCAGCCATCGCAGCCTTGCCTGCCTGAGGAGCTCACCGATGGGACCCTGCCCAGATCTTTCAAGGATTTGTGAGCTCCTCACCAAATCCAGTCTGGTTAAACCCAGGATGGATCGTAGGCAGGTCAGCCTAAATGTTTCTAACCGGCGAAGATGTTCCATTAGGGGGGTCCACGTTTCGCAAGCGTAGAGAAGGGAGGGAATGACCGTGGCCGAGAAGACCTGAAGCTTAGTGCGGAGCGACAGACCAGGTAGCTTCCACACAGCGTTACGCAACCGATGAAAAGATATTGCCGCTCGACTGATTCGGAGTGAGACCTCTGCTGTTAAACTGGAGCCAGTCATAAGCACACTGCCCAGGTATGGGAAACTCTCCACTCTCTCCACAACTGCCCCATCACCGATTGGGAGTTGTGGGGGTGGAGTGTCCGATGGTACAAAATACCCAGGCAGGTGCTTAGTTTTGGTGGGGCTGATGGTAAGGCCCCACCTCTTAGTGGCACGCTCCAGTCTCAGCAGCAGCGTCTCCAACTCCTCCTCTGACTGAGCAGCTATTACCAAGTCATCAGCATACATAACGTGGTTGAGCAATAGGGAGCCATCCCTTGACCGCACCCGGGCATCGATTAGCCTCCCATTATATCTGTACCATATGGAGATTCCCCCGGTACAGCTATTGAAGGCTTCACGAACTACGTGGTCAAAATAGATGTTAAATAATGTGGGAGCCAGAGGACATCCCTGTCGCACCCCAAGGTGTACAGGGAATGGCTCTGACTCCCGGCCACGTAGTTTTACCCGGGCCCGCTCACCATCATGAAGGTCCTTAATGATCGTGAGCAGAGGGTCAGGTACTCCAAAAGCACGAAGAACGACCCAGAGCCCAGGCCTACTGATGGTATCATAGGCCTTGACCAGGTCAATAAAGCAGAGATGTAGGTCTTGTTGGAATTCCCTACACCTCTGCTGTAGCAGACGGACAGAAAATATGGCATCTGTGCAGGACCGCCCTTTCCTGAAACCGCATTGGGGCTCCGCAAGCCTCTCCTCAGCGTGCCTGGCAAGGCGATGCTGAATAATCCTTGCCAGGACCTTTCCCGGCACACTGAGGAGTGAGATGCCCCTGTAGTTGTTACAGTCTGTGCGGTCCCCCTTCTTAAAAAGGGGGACCACCAGGGCATCCTTCCAATCCTGCGGAACCCGTCCAGTGGTCCAGACTGTTGTTATGATGTCATATAGGGCAGTCTGTGCACAAACGCCACCCTCCCTCAGCATTTCGCTTGGGAGATCATCTCTGCCCGCTGCCTTTCCTGGTCTCAGACTCTGGATCGCCTTCAATACTTCCTCAGCAGATGGCACCTCAGCCAGCCACTCACAGGGGGTGACTTCATCCAATATTTGAGGCACCGCAGCCTCAGCAGGGTCATCCTCACTTTGTGCCACGATGTTTTCCTGGCTGTGGGATTTTCCCTCCCCCAGGACCTCACAGAAATGCTCAGCAAATCTGCGAACCTGTTCCTGGGGGTCGGAAATTGGATCACCGTTTTTTCCCCTAATGATGGTAATAGGTGTGGCGCTGCAGGTTACTTTTTTGATGGAGTTAAATAGCGATTTGTGATCACGGGCCACTGAGGCAGACTCCATCTCCTCAGCAACCCGCGACCACCACCCATCCTTGCAGCGCCTCACGGCTCTCCGAACCTCCGAGCGAAGGCTGCGGTAAGCCTCCTCATTCTCTGACGTGGGATTCTGTAGCCGATGACAGTGGGCCTGTCGCTTTTTCTCAACCATCCTGAACAACTCCTCTGTCATCCAGGGTGTCTGGGGAGGTCTGGACCGCGTACCCAAAGCAGCCATTGCAGCTGCATGAGTCACAGTCCTAAACCTCGCCCATTTACCCTCGACATCAGGAGGAGTCGGGGACGATGCCAATCCCAGCCGCAAGCGATGATGAAATTCTCGCTTGCAACTTTCATCAGATAACTGAGACCAGGCCACTTTAGGTTGGAATGGGGTCCTGGGTGTACACCCACCACCGGAGTGGAAGAATGGCAGGCGCATCTTACAGATGACTAGTCGATGGTCAGAGGGCAGATCAGCTCCACGGTAGGTCCTGGTGTCAAGGACATGGGCTCGCATTCGCTGGTCCGTCACTATGTAGTCCAGCAGATGTTCTTGCTTGGACCCGGCATGCATCCATGATGTTGTGTGGATGCGCCGATGCCGGAACAGCGTGTTGGTAATTACAAGCCCATGGGCTGCACAAAAATCTAGCAGCCTCCTACCGTTGTTATTGAGCTGATCTGGCCCATGCCCTCCAATCACTCCAGACCAGGTGCCACAGTATCATGACCACACACACAGACTTGCACACACATGTACACACACACACACACCTGTGTATACACACGCAGACTTGCACACACACGTACACACACCTGTGTATACACACGCAGACTTGCACACACATGTACACACACACACCTGTGTATACACACGCAGACTTGCACACACACGTACACACACACACACCTGTGTATACACACGCAGACTTGCACACACATGTACACACACACACACCTGTGTATACACACGCAGACTTGCACACACACGTACACACACACACACCTGTGTATACACACGCAGACTTGCACACACATGTACACACACACACCTGTACACACACGTACACACACACACACCTGTGTATACACACGCAGACTTGCACACACATGTACACACACACACCTGTGTATACACATGCAGACTTGCACACACATGTACACACACACACCTGTGTATACACACGCAGATTTGCACACACATGTACACACACACACACCTGTGTATACACACGCAGACTTGCACACACACGTACACACACCTGTGTATACACACGCAGACTTGCACACACATGTACACACACACACCTGTGTATACACATGCAGATTTGCACACACATGTACACACACACACACCTGTGTATACACACGCAGACTTGCACACACACGTACACACACCTGTGTATACACACGCAGATTTGCACACACAAGTATACAAGTGTGCGCGTACAGCCTTAACAGACTGTTGGGGCAAGTGCTGTTAGCGAGGTCACAGAGACCCATAGGTGTATATAGAGACCCAAAGACTCATCATACACTCGCAAATAGATCGGCTGGTTGCGTGTGGTGGCGGCGGGATAAAGTGTGGGTATACTCTCCACCACTCATCCAAGATGTGCGAACCTGCTTGGAAGAGTAGGCCAAGCTACCTGCGTGTCTGTCTCTCTCTTAAGCGCTTCATGTTAGTGGAGGGTCCCCTTCCTCCAGCTGCAATCGAGTGAGCGATCGATTTATCGATAAGCGAGAGAGTGATCGAGCAATCGGTCGCTCGCTCGCTAAATCGGTCGATCGGTCACTCGATCAATCGGTCGATCGCTCGCTAAATCGGTCGCTCGCTCGCTCAATCGGTCGATCGCTCAATCGGTCGCTCGCTCGCTCAATCGGTCGATCGCTCAATCGGTCGCTCGCTCGCTCAATCGGTCGCTCGCTCGCTCAATCGGTCGCTCGCTCGCTCAATCGGTCGATCGCTCGCTCAATCGGTCGATCGCTCGCTCAATCGGTCGCTCGCTTCGCTCAATCGGTCGCTCGCTCGCTCAATCGGTCGCTCGCTCGCTCAATCGGTCGCTCGCTCGCTCAATCGGTCGCTCGCTCGCTCAATCGGTCGCTCGCTCGCTCAATCGGTCGCTCGCTCGATCGGTCGATCAATCGGTCGATCGGGTCGCTCGCTCGATCGGTCGATCATCGCTCAATCGGTCGATCGATCGCTCAATCGGTCGCTCAATCGGTCGCTCGATCGGTCGCTCGCTCGCTCGATCGATCGAGCTATCGAGCGAACGCGCTTGCGGGGCCGATCCTTTACAGAGCTCTCTACCGTACGGAGGAGGGGGTGGGGGCGGAACGCCCTCAGGATTTATTCCGGCCAGGCCGGGCCCGGCCCGCCCGTTACGCGGAATGACGAGCACAAGGGACGTGAAGGGCGCGCGGTCTCCGCTGAAACCGGAGCCGAGCGATGGGGCCTTGGGGGTCGGGAGGGGGGAGGGTGGTGGTAGGCAAGGACTCAATCGCTTCATTGTGGGGCCACGTCTCCAGCGGTCTCGGCTACGGCACCGCCGCCACCACCACCACGACCCCCACCCCACTCTCTCTGCCTTCCCATCGCCCTCCTCTCTCCATCCTCTCTCTCTTTCTCCTCACTGCCCTCCCCCCCACTCTCTCCATTCTCTCTCTCTCTCGTCTCTCCGTCTCTTCCTCCCCGCCGCTCTCTCTCTCTTCCCTCCCTCACCCCCTTCAAACCACCAACCCTTCTCTCCATCTCCTCCTCTACACTGCCCCTATCTCCCTCCTCTCTCCTCCTCTCCACCACTCCCCCCTTCTCTCTCCCTTCTCTCCACCACTCCCCCTTCTCTCTCACCTCCTCTCCACCACTCCCCCCTTCTCTCTCATCTCCTCTCCACCACTCCCCCTTCTCCCTCCCTTCTCTCCATCACTCCCCCCCCCTCCTCTCCACCACTCCCCCCTTCTCCCTCCCTCCTCTCCACCACTGCCCCCCCCTCCTCTCCACCACTCCCCCCTTCTCCCTCCCTTCTCTCCACCACTCCCCTCCCCCTTCTCCCTCCCTTCTCTCCACCACTCCCCCCCCCTTCTCCCTCCCTCCTCTCCACCACTCCCCCTTCTCTCTCACCTCCTCTCCACCACTCCCCCCTTCTCCCTCCCTTCTCTCCATCACTCCCCTTCTCTCTCCCTTCTCTCCGCCACTCCCCCTTCTCTCTCCACCTCTCCCACCTTCTCTCTCACCTCCTCTCTCCCTTCTCTCCACCGGCCCCCCATTCTCTCTTCCTTCTCCCCATCTTCTCCGCCCCCCACCCCCCCCCCCCCTCTGTCTATCTTTGCACTAAAAGTTCTTCCTCCAAGTAGAAGAAAAAAAGATCCAGCAATCAGAAAACAAACTACGACCGAGAGGTGGAATGACGTGACCACAACGCGGGACACGGGGGGGGGTATGGGGAGCAGAAAGACACGGGGGGGGACACTGGGGGGACACTGGGGGGACAGGAGCAGCGGGACACGTCTTGCAAGAGTGGTGCTAAGTACCCACACTTCACCGCACACCGCCACAAGCGGTCCACAACTGAGGGTGTCCCGTCTGCGTGGCGGGCGGGGGAGAGCGGTCTCCGTCATCCAGCAGCGGATCGCTCGCGAACTGGCCGCGAGGACGCTACCTGTTTTCTGGGCTGTCGTCGCTCTCCTCGGACGCGGCGTCCGGCCCGTCCTTCACCTCCTCGCCGCCGTCGTCGTCGTCTACCGGAGGGGAGGGGGAAGGGGGGGGGGGGGGACAAACCCACGACACCTCGTCACGCAGACTCCTCCACCTACCTGCTCCACCGCCGCCGCGCGAACGCGCGTCTGTTATGCGCGTACGTGCGTGTACATGTGTGCACGCGTGTGCACGTGCGCGCGCGTAAGTGTACGTGCGTCTGTGCGTGTGCGCGTGCGTGTCTGTGTGGCCACGTGTGTGTGTGTGTGTGTCTGTGTGGCCACGTGTGTGTGTGTGTCTGTGTGGCCACGTGTGTGTGTGGGGAGCGGTAGTGCAGCGGTTCGCGCTATGAACCCGGCGGCCAACACCGGTGACGATTATCTGAAACGGTCCTGGGCCTCCCATAGGTCGACTCGGCCTCAAATGAGCACCCGGTACGGTGTGCAGTAAACATCGCCACCGGGGGAGACAAAGGCGGCCGGGCGTGGTGTTGGCCACCGACCCCCTCGTGTGCCACAGTGCCGGCCTTCACAGGTGCTGCTCGCCAACAGCACTTGCCCCAACGGTCTGTTACAGGCTAGACGGGGGATCTTTGTCTTTGTGAGCGTACGTGTGGGCTACACGGGGGCTGACGCGTCTGTGTGTGCGTGTGGCGACCTCTGGTGGCTGTTTGTTGAAGCGTGTTATGTACGTGCGTGCGCACCTGCGCGTCCGTGTGTACGTGCGTGTGCGTTACGTGTGTATACGTGTGTGTCTGTGTACACACGAGTGTACGTGTGTATGCGCGCGTAAGTGTACGTGCGTAAGTGTACGTGCGTAGGCGTGTGTGTGCGCGCGTGCGTGGCCAGTCACCAGAGAAGGACTGCCCTCCGGCCTTGGCGTCCGCCACGCTGTCCACGATCGTCTTGATCCTCTGTGCCGACGCGTCCGATTCATCCCCACCCTCCTCATCCTCCTCCTCCCCGCCCCCCTCCTCCTCCTCGTCCTCCGACGGCACCAACAGCTTGTCCACCTCTTCCTTCTTCACCCGTTCCTTTCGGGCTCTCCGTCGTAGGCGAGACTTCTTCCCCTCCTCGTCCTCCTCCTCCTCGTCGTCGTCCTCGTCCTCATCACCCGGCTCCTTCTTCACCTCCTTGCTCTTGAGCGCCGCGCTCTTCTGCCTCTTCTTTCTTGCCGCGGCCGCCGCCGCCACCTCATCGTCGTCGTCGTCGTCGTCGTCGTCGCCGCCGCCGTCGTCGCCCTTGGCCGTCCTGGCACGCTTGGCGGGCCGCAGCTTGCCCAGCCGTCCGATCTCCCGCTCCAGCTCCGGGTCGTAGTTGGAGGAGTCGGATCGCCGGCGCCGCCGCTTGGCGCTGGCCGACCTCGTCGTGGCGCGCGACGGCGACGCCGACGCCGCCGCCGCCGCCGCCTTGCCGCGCTTCTTGCCCAGCCGGCTCGTCGTCTTCTCGCCCTCCGCCTCGTCGCCCTCGTCGCCCTCGTCGCCCTCCGCCTCGTCGTTCGACGCCGCAGCCTTGCCGCCCCCCGCTTTGCGCTTGCTTGCCAGGGCCGCCCGCTTCCCCTTCTTCGCGACGCCTCGCTTATCCCCGTCGTCGCCGCCACTGCCGTCCTTCTCATCGTCCTCCTCCCCCTCGTCGTCGTCGTCGTCGGACGACGCCCGCCCGGCCGCGCCGGCGTCCCTTGCGGACATCCTCAGGATGAGCGGCACCTCGTCCGAATCCGAGGCCTCGTCCGCCTCATCCTCGGCCTTCGTCGCGGTCCCCGGCGGCTCGTCGGAGTCGTCGCCGCCGTCGTCGTCGCCGCCGTCGTCGCCGCCGTCGTCGCCGTCGTCCCGCGCCGCCAATTTGCTCCCCCGCTTGGCCCGCCCACCCTTGGTGGGGCGTCGCGGTGACGCGGCCTCCGCCTTGCCCGCTGCGTCCTCGCCGCCGCCCTCGCCCTCGGCGGCGTCGTCGTCGCTGCTGTTGTTGTTGCTGCTGCTGCCGGGGCGACGCCAAGCGCCTTCCTCCTCGGCCGCCCCCAGGAGGCGCTTGGCGACGCCGGCCGAGGGGCGCCGCAGCGGCGTGGTCTTCTGCCGAGGCGACCGCTTGCTGTCTGCCGCGTCGGCTTTGTCGTCCCCGCCCGGCCGGCGAGGCGACTTCCTTCGTTTGGACTTGGGCCTCGCGTCCTCGTCGCCGCATCTCATCCGGCTCTCCTCATCCTCCTCATCCTCCTCCTCCTTCCCCTCATCCTCCTCCTTCCCCTCATCCTCCTCCTTCCCCTCATCTCCCTCCTCCTCCTCCTTCCCCAACTCCACCTCCCCTTGCTCTCCGTTCTCTCTCTGCCCGTGCGGCCGCTGCAGACGGTGGCGGTCCGACTCCACTTTGTCCGCCGACGCCTCTCCGGCGCCAGCCTCCTCCTCCTCCTCCTCGCTCATCTTCTCTCCCTTCTTCTGTTTCTGCTTCTTCTTCTCCTTCTCCTCCTCCTCCTCCTCCTCCCCCTCGCTCATCTTCTCTCCCTTCTTCTGTTTCTGCTTCTTCTTCTCCTTCTCCTCCTCCTCCTCCTCCTCCCCCTCGCTCATCTTCTCTCCCTTCTTCTGTTTCTGCTTCTCCTTCTCCTCCTCCTCCCCCTCGCTCATCTTCTCTCCCTTCTTCTGTTTCTGCTTCTTCTTCTCCTTCTCCTCCTCCTCCTCTTCCTCGTATTTATGTTTCTTCTCCAGCGTCTTCTTGCTCCTCCTCGTCTTCTTGCCACGGCCACGGCCGTCGTCGTCGTCGCCACCGCGTTCCTTCTTCCGTCGCTCGGTCGTGGCGCGAGTGTGTCTACCCTCCTCCTCCTCCTCCTCGTCCTCCTCCTCCTTCTCCCCGTTCTCACAATCGTCGTCGGCGCCGCCGTCGTCGGTGGCCGGTGACCGCGCCCCCCCCTCCGTCGCCGTCGGGCCCAGGGGCTGCTCAGGCAAGGCCTTGATAGGCCTCAGCCGCACAACGGGGCCCGTCTTGACGCTGGGCTCCGACAGCGCGGACGGCTTGCTGGCAGCCCTCTCTTTCGCGGGGGTCACAGCCTCCTCCTCATCGGCCTCCTCCTCATCGGCCTCCCCTTCTTCCTCCTCCTCTTCCTCCTCCTCCTCTTCCTTCCCGTGGCTCTTTGCGTCTCCATCCTTGGCCTTACGCGACGCCGACAGCGGTCGGTTCTTCCCGTTGGCCTTCTTCTTCCTCTTCTTCGTTGTCGCTCTTTCCTTGCTCTTTGTACCGCCATCCTCATCCTCCTCCTCCTCCTCTTCCACATCATCACCCTCCACGTCCTCCTCCTCCTCCTCCTCCACCACCTCCTCCTCTTCCCGCCGCGCGGCGTCGCTTTGCCGATCGTCGCCGCCGGCCTTGGCCGCGCCTCCAGCATCGGCGGCGGCTTTGCCGTCGGCGGCTTTGCCGGCGTCGCCGTCGGCGGCGGGCTGCACGCAGGAGGAGATGTCGCTGAGCTCGGCGAGCAGCCACGAGTCGTCCGCCACGGCGTGCTCCGCCATGTCAAAGTCGAAGTCCGCGGTGAAGGCGGCGATCGGCTCGTCGCCGGCCTCCGCTTTGCTCGCCGCGTCGACGCCCGACGGCGCCGGCTCTTCCGCCGACGGCTTCGGTTTTTTGACGGCGCCAATGCGGACGGCCCGATCGCCACCATGGCCGCCTCCGTCGCCCTCTTCGTCGCCGCTCCCTCCTCCTCCTCCTCCTCCTTCTTCCGACGACGACGCCGCCGCAGCCGCCGCAGCCGCAGCCGCCGCCGCAGCGTCCCCTCCGGGCTCCTCCTGCGAGCGGGCGGTGCGCAGGGACTTGCGGCGGTGGTGCCGCGGCGCCGGCGAGGGGCCGCCCGGCGCCGCCCGGCGAGGCTCGGACGCCGGGCCCCTCGCCGGCTCCTCCTTCCCGCCGGGTCGCTCTGCCGGCGCACCTTTGGGCAACCGCCCCGCGTCCTCCTCCTCGTCCTCCACCTCATCGTCCACCTCCTCGTTGACCTTCTCTCCCTCCCTCTCCGCTCGATGCCTGCCCTTGACTTTGTCTTTCGACGGGCGGCTCTCTGCCTGTGCCTTCCGCCCTCCTCTATTTCCTTCCTTAGCGCCCTTCCCTCCTCTTCCGCCCTCCTTCACCTCCTCCTCCTCGTCCACCTCCTCCTTCGCCTCCGCCGCGGCCTTCACCTCCGCCGCGGCCTTCGCCCGCCCCCCCTTGGCCTCCAACTCCCTGATCGAGGCCGCCTGCGTGGCCACCTCCTCCTCCATGCTCCGGTGGAGGGCCACGTGGGCCTTCCTGAGCTCCGACAGCACCGAGCGGAAGGCCCGGGCCTTCCGCAGGCGCACCGCCAGCCTCTCCGGCGACGAGCCCCGGTGGCCGGCGTCGCCGGCGTCGCCGGCGTCATCGTCGTCGCCGCTGCGCGACGCCGAGCCCAGGAACTTGATGTACTTCAGGCTCAAGTTCACCGTCGCCTCGATCAGTTTCTGGGACTTGCGGAAAACCTCCTTGGGGATCATGAGCTGCCTCCGGACGTCCTGACCGCCGCCGATCGGCGGGCGCGGTACGGTGATCGCGGCGCCCGTTTCGGCGCACCTCACCGTCACGTCGCCGCCGCCGCCGCCGCCGCGCTCGCCGCGCTCGCCGCGCTTGCCCGGCTTCTCGTGACGATTGCGCCGGTGGCGGACCTGCTGCTGCTGCTGCTGCTGCTGCTCCTGCTGCTGCCGCCGATGCTGCTGCTGCTGCCGGTTCTGGTGGTGCCAGCGCTTGCCGCGGAGGTCGAGGGACTCGAAGACGGCGTCGCAGGCGGCGACGACGTCGATGAGGGGGGCCGGGTCGCACACGAAGCAGGCCCACTTGGCGTCGCCGCTGGCGACGACGTCGCGCAGGGCCCTGCGGCCCAGGTTGCGCAGCACGCAGCTCTTGCAGAAGGCGTTGTGGCAGAAGTCGCAGCAGAGCAGGTTGCCACCCTCGGCACACCACCTGGGGGTACGGGGGTGGGGTGGGGTGGAGGGAGTTTGGGATCAGGATCTACGGTAGAACTCCTCTTAACGACGGTGATTGGTTCCATGAAAGGCGATTTGGTCGTTAAGCGAGTATAGGAAATGCACGTTAGGGGCTTAATTCGTTCAAGGCGTCGAAGTTGACCCTTTTCACCCAAAAAACGTACTTTATAACATTCCAACAATGGCTATTAACGCATACAGATACTAACAACATTATAAATAGATAATACTAAAAGAAACATGGTTAATCGATGCACTAATTATTATAATTTACTGTACCTACAACAGCCCGTCGTTAACACGGGAATGGTCGGTAAGTGAACACATTGGGCTCTATGGAGGCGCTACACTACTATACACTACACTATTCTAATCTCCACTACACTATACACTACACTGTTCTAATCTCCACTACACTATACACTACACTACTATACACTACACTATACACTACACTACTATACACTATTCTAATCTCCACTACACTATACTACTATACACTATTCTAATCTCCACTACACAATACACTACACTACTATACACTACACTATTCTAATCTCCACTACACAATTCACTACACTACTATACACTACACTATTCTAATCTCCACTACACGATACACTACACTATTCTAATCTCCACTACACGATACTCTACACTATTCTAATCTCCACTACACTATACACTATACTACTATACACTACACTACTATACACGACAGTATACACTACACTGTACACTACACGACTACACTATCCACTACAAATTGGGCTCTATGGAGGCCCGTCGTTAAGCGATTAGTCATTAACAGGGATACAGTGAGGGAAACAAGTATTTGATCCCCTGCTGATTTTGTACGTTTGCCCACTAACAAAGAAATTATCAGTCTATAATTTTAATGGTAGGTTTATTTGAACAGTGAGACAGAATAACAACAGGAAAATCTAGAAAAACGCATGTCAAAAATGTTATAAATTGATTTGCATTTAAATGAGGGAAATAAGTATTTGACCCCTCTGCAAAACATGACTAAATACTTGGTGGCAAAAACCCTTGTTGGCAATCAGAGGTCAGACGTTTCTTGTAGTTGGCCACCAGGTTTGCACACATCTCAGGAGGGATTCTGTCCTACTCCTCTTTGCAGATCTTCCCCAAGTCATTAAGGTTTCGAGGCTGACGTTTGGCAACTCGAACCTTCAGCTTCCTCCACAGATTTTCTATGGGATTAAGGTCTGGAGACTGGCTAGGCCACTCCAGGACCTTAATGTGCTTCTTCTTGAGCCACTCCTTTGTTGCCTTGGCCATGTGCTTTGGGTCATTGTCATGCTGGAATACCCATCCACGACCCATTTTCAATGCCCTGGCTGAGGGAAGGAGGTTCTCACCCAAGATTTGACGGTACATGGCCCCGTCCATCGTCCCTTTGATGCGGTGAAGTTGTCCTGTCCCCTTAGCAGAAAAACACTCCCAAAGCATAATGTTTCCACCTCCATGTTTGACGGTGGGGATGGTGTTCTTGGGGTCATAGGCAGCATTCCTCCGCCGCCAAACACGGCGAGTTGAGTTGATGCCAAAGAGCTCCATTATGGTCTCATCTGACCACAACACTTTCACCCAGTTGTCCTCTGAATCATTCAGATGTTCATTGGCAAACTTCAGGCGGGCATGTATATGTGCTTTCTTGAGCAGGGGGACCTTGCGGGCGCTGCAGGATTTCAGTCCTTCACGGCGTAGTGTGTTACCAATTGTTTTTTTGGTGACTATGATCCCAGCTGCCTTGAGATCATTGACAAGATCCTCCCGTGTAGTTCTGGGCTGATTCCTCACCGTTCTCATGATCATTGCAACTCACAAGGTGAGATCTTGCATGGAGCCCCAGGCCGAGGGAGATTGACAGTTGTTTTGTGTTTCTTCCATTTGCGAATAATCGCACCAACTCTTGTAACCTTCTCACCAAGCTGCTTGGCAATGGTCTTGTAGCCCATTCCAGCCTTGTGTAGGTCTACAATCTTGTCCCTGACATCCTTGGAGAGCTCTTTGGTCTTGGCCATGGTGGAGAGTTTGGAATCGGATTGATTGATTGCTTCTGTGGACAGGTGTCTTTTATACAGGTAACAAGCTGAGATTAGGAGTACTCCCTTTAAGAGTGTGCTCCTAATCTCAGCTCGTTACCTGTATAAAAGACACCTGGGAGCCAGAAATCTTTCTGATTGAGAGGGGGTCAAATACGTATTTCCCTCATTAAAATGCAAATCAATTTATAACATTTTTGACATGCGTTTTTTCGGGATTTTTTGTTGTTATTCTGTCTCTCACTGTTCAAATAAACCTACCATTAAAATTATAGACTGATCATTTCTTCGTCAGTGGGCAAACGTACAAAATCAGTAGGGGATCAAATACTTTTTCCCCCTAACCTGTACTAGCTAAGAGGGATTTCTACTGCAGTAGTTGCAATCGTAGTCGAGTTCATTTTAATAGTCGCACAAAAGAGACGAGGCGAAAGACAAACAGTGCAAATTTAAAAAAACCACGGTAAAAAAATAACACGCGCGTGCAAACGAGGCTGGAAAAGCCCAGCGGCGGGCTTTGCATGAAAACCACACCTGACAAAAGAGAACTGTGTGCAGACACAAAACTGATTGCTCACGCAATTAAACGGAGCGTAGCGATCACAATTAAACTTGTCGGAGGCAGCGTTCAAGCAACAAAAAAAACAACGCGTTTATTTTCGTTTGAGTTTTGTGTGTGGGGAGACCAAGGCGCCCGGGCGTGGTGCTGGCCAACCACCCCCTTTCCGTGTGACCGTGCCGGCCTTCACAGGTGCTGCTCGCTAACAGCACTTGCCCCAACAGTCTGTTACAGCCTACGCGGGGGGACCTTTGTCTTTGCCGTTGTGCGAATGTGTGCGAGTGTGTGCGGGAGTTATATGGGGAGCGGTAGGGCAGCAGTTTGCGATCTGCGCCACAAACCCAGCGACCCGAGTTCAATTCCTGCTCACGGCCAACACCAGTGACGTTCATATGAACCGCTGAACAGCCTCCCCCCCCCCCCTAGGTCGACTCAGCCTCAAATGAGTACCTGGTGCGGTGTGTAGTAAACATCGCCACTGGGGAGACAAAGGCGGCAGGGCGTGGGTGCTGGTCACCCACCCCCTCGTGTGCCGTGCCGGCCTTCATTAGGTACTCGCTAGCAGCACTTGCCCCAACAGTCTGTTAGGGCTATACGGGGGATCTTTGTGGGAGTTAGGCTGCATGGAGGAGGACCACTGGGTGAAATCGGACTCACTCTATGCTCGCAAGTTATTGAGGGACGATGATGAGATATTGGCAACGTGCCAGATAGGAATTCCAGAGTACGGAACCCTCTGCATGGAGCGCTTTTCATCAAGCATCTCAAGAGCGCTGTGCAAGGGCACAGCAGCAGCAGCTGCAGTAGCAGCTGCTTGGCATTACAAATAATTACTTTATAAATACATTTGAACGAACATTCAATTGACAAATTAAACTAAAAGTTGAAATGGAGTACTTTTCACGACCAATATTAGTCACAATAAAGTATATTTGTTGGGGCGTTAGATTGTGTCGTTAAAACACCACTCGACACAGCCAATAAAAAATAAATAAATTAATGCGAACCAACACACCTGATGACGACCGTTTGTGTTATGGTCGAAACGTCGTGAGAATTTTTATTGTTTTATATATATTTTATTATTTTATTGTTTCCCTTCAACGTGACTTTACCGAAAGAGCTAAGAATATGTTCCTGTTAGTTTTACACTCTCCAAATACACGACCGGTGCGTGTCCTGCTGAACTCGTAACTAAACTGGCACGTTTTGTGTACGTGACAAACCCTTTGCTAATTGGCTGTGTGTCGTGGTGGTGGTGGCGGGTTTAAAGACACACGTTTATATTCACACGACCTAATGTTGTTGCTTTGCTCACAACAGCTCCATGGAGGTGGTGGACGGAGGTGGTGTATGGAGGTTGTCGATGGAGGCGGACGGTAGCGGTGGACGGAGGAGGTAGTGGTGGGAGGAGGTGGTGGTGGGAGGAGGTGGTGGTGGGAGGAGGTGGTGGTGGGAGGAGGTGGTGGTGGGAGGAGGTGGTGGTGGGAGGAGGTGGTGGTGGTAGGAGGTGGTGGTGGTGGGAGGAGGTGGTGGTGGGAGGAGGTGGTGGTGGGAGGATGGAGACTGACCTGCACTGCTCATCCATCCCCTCTTCATCTTGGTTGATGTCATCGCTTGTGTAGTACTTGTAGCAGCTCTGCAACGACATCACACCATCACATCGCACCATCACATGGCACCGCAGGCGACGTCACATGGCACCGCAGGCGACGTCACATGGCACCGCAGGCGACGTCACATCTCACCGCAGGCGACGTCACATCGCACCGCAGGCGACGTCACATCGCACCGTCACAAACCGCCACGTTTGCAACGCGAGTGTAGTTTTTGGCTACGTACGGAGCGAAAGAAGTTCACACACATACACAACATGACGAGACACTGCACGACTATACGCTGAACTACTAAAATGCTCTATACTACAAATACTATATACTACAATACTGTAAACTACACTACTGTACACTACATTGTAGACTATACTACATTGAAAAATAATTTCTTTAGAACTGCTTTATGTTTAGTTTGTTGTCCTCCACCCCCCGCCACACCTCTGATTAGCATAGTTGGCTATGTACACAATACACTACACGATACACGACACGACTATCTGCAATATACCACACTACTATACACTACACCATTGTACACTACACCACGATACTGAATACAAAACAGATTTCCGTAGAACTGTTTTTTTGTGTTCAGTTAGCACGGGTTGTCCACGTAAGGTGCGAAAGAAGTCCAACATACAAAGACAAAGATCCCCCGTGTAGCCTTTAGCAGACTGTTGGGGCAAGTGCTGTTAGCGAGCACCTACATGCAAACACAACGCACGGAGGGAGGAAGGAGCTGGGGTTGGTGGGTAACGTTGCCGAGCGTGGCCGACACCGGGGTTGGTAGCGTGGTACACTTATTAAAACCGGTAACCGCTTCTCAGAAGTTCGCAAGGGGCGTTTGGGTAAACACGGGGACGCGGCTGCCACTGGGGGTGCCCCCCCTTCCTGCCCTTTGGCTAATTTACGGCAGCAGCCGGACGTTCTGAAACGGTGCGACGTCGATTCTAAACGTGGAGGGGGGGGGGGGGGAGTGGTGGGGGGGAAACCGGAGGACCCGGAGAAAAATCCACACGACCACGGGGAGGGCGAGAGAGGGAGAACACGCAAACTCCAAATATGCAGCAGCAGGCGTCAGGGTCAGGATCGAACCCACGACCTCCTGTAGACCAGGTGAGGTCGTTAACACCTCCTAGCCACCGTGGTGCTCACGATGAGAATGACACTGCCACTGTTGCTATGGCTACTCCTGATGGGAACGACGATAGCAATGATGATGGTGGCGATGATAACAACATCACCGCTTGCTGCTCTGGGTGCAAACATCAAAATCATTTACCCCTCTCCCTACCCCTCTCCCTACCCCTCTCCCTACCCCTCTCCCTACCCCTCTCCCTACCCCTCTCCCTACCCCTCTCCCTACCCCTCTCCCTACCCCTCTCCCTACCCCTCTCCCTACCCCTCTCCCTACCCCTCTCCCGACCCCTCTCCCAACCCCTCTCCCTACCCCTCTCCCTACCCTCTCCCCTCTCATCGCACCACCCCCCCTCCCTCTCCCGCAGCGATGTAAATTGGCAAGGTCACGGATGGCGGCTGGGGGTCTCGGTTCCCGACCGTCGCCCATTAATCTCCGCACCCCCTAGGCAGAGACCCCCCCCCCCCCGCGACGCATAAAAAATTACACTAGCAAAACAACGATGCAGTTGATGCAGCCGCCGTTTGTTGATGCTGCTCGCAGAAGCGGACATCACATAGCTACTTCTGAGTTCCCATTATTCTGCAAGTGTCGCTCTCGTCCAAGCAGGGAAGCGGACATCACAGAACTACTTATGAGTTTCCATTATTCTGCAAGTGTCGCTCTGGTCCAAGCAGGGAAGCGGACATCACAGAACTACTTATGAGTTTCCATTATTCTGCAAGTGTCGCTCTGGTCCAAGCAGGGAAGCGGACATCACAGAACTACTTCTGAGTTCCCATTATTCTGCAAGTGTCGCTCTCGTCCAAGCAGGGAAGCGGACATCACAGAACTACTTCTGAGTTCCCATTATTCTGCAAGTGAAGCCCTGGTCCAAGCAGGGAAGCGGACATCACAGAACTACTTATGAGTTTCCATTATTCTGCAAGTGTCGCTCTGGTCCAAGCAGGGAAGCGGACATCACAGAACTACTTCTGAGTTCCCATTATTCTGCAAGTGTCGCTCTCGTCCAAGCAGGGAAGCGGACATCACAGAACTACTTCTGAGTTCCCATTATTCTGCAAGTGTCGCTCTGGTCCAAGCAGGGAAGCGGACATCACAGAACTACTTCTGAGTTCCCATTATTCTGCAAGTGTCGCTCTGGTCCAAGCAGGGAAGCGGACATCACAGAACTACTTCTGAGTTTCCATTATTCTGCAAGTGTCGCTCTGGTCCAAGCAGGGAAGCGGACATCACAGAACTACTTCTGAGTTCCCATTATTCTGCAAGTGTCGCTCTGGTCCAAGCAGGGAAGCGGACATCACAGAACTACTTCTGAGTTCCCATTATTCTGCAAGTGTCGCTCTGGTCCAAGCAGGGAAGCGGACATCACAGAACTACTTCTGAGTTCCCATTATTCTGCAAGTGTCGCTCTGGTCCAAGCAGGGAAGCGGACATCACAGAACTACTTCTGAGTTCCCATTATTCTGCAAGTGTCGCTCTGGTCCAAGCAGGGAAGCGGACATCACAGAACTACTTCTGATTTTCCATTATTCTGCAAGTGACGCTCTGGTCCACACTCAGAAACGGCCAGTGGAGGCGGACTTCACAGAGCTACCTCAAAGACCCCCTTCTTCGTCTGCAAGTGACGCTCAAGAGAGCCGTTGATCTCGCACCACAGTAGGTGGCAGCACTTTCCCACGCTGCCCTGCCATGCCAGAGTATTGCTCCGTGGTGTCGTACGAGCGAGTTCAACCTCGCTCGCATTAACTCGCAGATATTTTTTTATTTGTCAGAGCTGGGGGTTTTGACCAAAATTACGAACAACTCGCTGCACTTGAGAACCCGACGGAATCACAATCCAGTCTAATCTTGATTTGAAGCTTTCGTCGTGACTGCAGGAACCCGTACTCTTTGGTTCTACTTCAGCAGTTTTTTCTTGCTGTGGTTGTCCCACCTGATGACGATTGCTTGTGTTGCGATCGAAACGTCGTCATCTGTTATTTTTCTACCTACGTGACTTTACCGAAAGAACCAGCGAGCATGGAATCCAGTCTATGCGAGTCTGTGTGTCTGTGCGAGGCTATGGGTCTCTGTGGAAGACTATGAGTCTCTATGAGTTGATGAGACTGCGAGTCCGTGGGTCTCTCCATATAAGTTATGGATCTCTGAGTCTACGGGTCTCTGTGCGAGTCTATGGGTCTCCGAGTCTACAAGGTGTGTGTGAGTCTATGAGTCTCTGTGAGTCTTTCGATCTACGTGTGTATCATGTGCGAGTCTATGGGTCTCTGTGTGAGTCTATGGGTTTTTCTGTGCGATTCGATCGTTCTGTGTGGGTCTATGGGTCTCTGTGCGAGTTATCGGTATCCGTGCAAGTATATGGGTTCTCTGCGAGTCTACGGGTCTCTCTCTGTGGGAGTCTACGTGTCTCTGTGCAAGTCTACGGGGGTCTGTGCGAGTCCATAAGTCCGTGTACGGCGCTCATGAGTCTGTGCGAGTCTGTGGTTCTGTGTGTGAGTCTACGGGTCTCTGCGTCGTAAGTTATGGGTCTCCGTGCGAGTCAGCGGAGACCCGGCTGAGACCATCCACTGGACACACACTTGAGAACCCGGATTAATAGCGGAGCAGCAGCAGCGGCAACAGCGGCAGCAGCAGCTGCGTCGATTCAAGCCTCGCTTTGGAATTCCCAATTGACTCTCACCTGGCCATGAATCTCAATAGGCGGGCTCGCACTCTCGCTCTCTCGCCCGCCCGGTTATAAATCTCGACGGGCAGTCGGTTATTCCACACGAGATTGACTACGATAATTCCGGCGAACGAGCGAGCGAGAGAGAGAGAGCGAGGGCGGTGTGGCCGTTGTGTTGAGTAAGAAGTGTGGCGAGTGAAGAGAGCGAGCGGGAGAGAGCGCGCGAGAGAGAGAGAGAGAGAGTGTGAGCGAGAGAATGAGCAAGAGAGAGTGTGAGAGCGGGAGAGAGAGAATGAGAGAGAGGAAGCTAGAGAGAGCGAGCTGAAGGAGAGAGAGAGAGTGAGAGAGAGCGGGAGAGAGAGAGAATGAGAGAGAGGAAGAGAGCGGGAGAGAGAGAATGAGAGAGAGGAAGAGAGCGGGAGAGAGAGAATGAGAGAGAGAAAGCTAGAGAGAGCGAGCTGAAGGAGAGATAGCGAGAGAGAGAGTGAGAGAGTGAGAGAGAGTGGGAGAGAGAGATAGAATGAGAGAGAGAAAGCCAGAGAGAGCGAGCTGAAGGAGAGCGGGCGAGAGAGAGTGAGAGAGAGAGAATGAGAGAGAGAAAGCTAGAGAGAGCGAGCTGAAGGAGAGATAGCGAGAGAGAGAGAGAGTGAGAGAGAGCGGGAGAGAGAGATAGAATGAGAGAGAGAAAGCCAGAGAGAGCGAGCTGAAGGAGAGAGGGCGAGAGAGAGTGAGAGAGAGAATGAGAGAAAGCCAGAGAGAGCGAGCTGAAGGAGAGATAGCGGGAGAGAGAGTGAGAGAGAGTGGGAGAGAGTGAGAGTGAGAGAGAGCGGGAGAGTGAGTGAGAGAGAGAAAGCCAGAGAGAGCGAGCTGAAGGAGAGAGGGCGAGACAGAGTGAGAGAGAGCGGGAGAGAGATAGAGTGAGAGAGAGAGAGAGCGGGAGAGAGAGTGAGAAAGCCAGAGAGAGCGAGCTGAAGGAGAGAGGGCGAGAGAGAGTGAGAGAGAGCGGGAGAGAGATAGAGTGAGAGAGAGAGAGCGGGAGAGAGAGAGCGGGAGAGAGAGCGGGAGAGAGATAGAGTGAGAGAGAGAGAGCGGGAGAGAGAGTGAGAGAGAGAAAGCTAGAGAGAGTGAGCTGAAGGAGAGATAGCGAGAGTGAAAGAGAGCGGGAGAGAGAGAGAGCGAGAGTGAGTGAGAGAGCGGGAGAGAGTGAGAATGAGAGAGAGAAAGCTAGAGAGAGCGAGCTGAAGGAGAGAGAGTGGGAGAGAGAGTGTGAGAGAGAGAGTGAGAGAGAGTGGGATAGTGAGTAAGAGAGAGGGAATGAGAGAGAGAAAGCCAGAGAGAGCGAGCTGAAGGAGAGAGTGAGCTGAAGGAGAGATAGCGAGAGAGAGTGAGTGAGAGAGCGGGAGAGAGAGAATGAGAGAGAGAAAGCTAGAGAGAGTGAGCTGAAGGAGAGATAGCGAGAGAGAGTGAAAGAGAGCGGGAGAGAGAGAGCGAGAGTGAGTGAGAGAGCGGGAGAGAGAGAATGAGAGAGAGAAAGCTAGAGAGAGCGAGCTGAAGGAGAGAGCGCGAGAGAGAGAGAGATGCCCCATTGTCAGCATTTTATTTCACGGGGCGCCAGAGAGAACCGTTATTCATTATTTTTTATTATACTTTTTTTTAAAGACAAACGCAAAATGAGATTGCATTGTCAAGGGGAAGGCAAAAAAATAAAACGACATATTAGGCGTCGGCTCATGCGGAGCGGGGCGGGCAGCAGTCATACCTCTGAAGCGAGTTTCAATTACAACATCATTCCTTGCGCCAAATTAAAAACATGACCCCCCCCCTGCCCCTCAATTATTTAATTCTTTCCAAAATACTACTTACTCTCAACTATGTTTTATTTTACTCGGGAAGTACAGGACAACGCCACAGCACCCCCCCCCCCCCCCCCTACGGAGCTGCTACTGCATGGCTCTTTTGTCACAAATGATAGCATCTCGACGAGGAAGCGGCCCGGTTTTATCGTCGCCATCGCGGATATTAATAGCAGCAGCACAAATAACTCTTAAACGGCCACGGTGTCCATTTCTAAAAATGTGGGAGGGGAAAAAAAACGGAGGACCCGGAGAACAAAAAATCCACAGCAAGGGGTCAGGCTCGGGATCGAAGCCACGACCTCCTGTAGCCAGGCGAGGTAGTTAACATCTCACCACGGAGAGAGAGAGAGACACGCAAACTCAAAATATACAGCAGCAGGCGTCAGGGTCGGGATCGAAGCCACGTCATCCTGCACAACAGGCGAGGGAGATAACATCTCCTGGCCACTGGGGCATCCCTCCCCTCAAATACAAACTCCACACACTCACTCTGCGAGACAGGGCGAGGATAACAAAATCCACGTGACCACGGGGAGAGACAGAGAGACACGCAAACTCCAACATGTACATAACGTCTCCTAGCCACCGTGGCGCCCCCTAGAGCAATCCGCAGTGGCGAGTGAGGTGCCTGGAAAAAGGCCAAGGTGGGCAAATCCAGCAATTGGTTCATGTACAGGGGCCCTTTAGGATACGGGGGGGATTAGAGGAACCATGGCTTGGGGGGCGACTGGAGTTGAGATAACCCCGACTGAGAAAAAATGCGGGTGAACAGCCACAGACATCCGCCAATTCGGCGGCGGTGCGGTGACTTCACCGCGGCGCCTGTGCCAGGCCATGTGCGCCTTGAGGCCGCGTGAAGTGTCGAAGGCTATCCGGCAGGAGGTCACGGGACAGACCCAGGCGTCATGGGGTTGACCAACTGAGGTGACTGCTACACGCAGTGTGTTACCTTGCAGATGAGCGTTTTGAGCACGGGGTGGCGGAACAGCGAGTCCTTGATGAAGTGGTTGACCTGCGACCCGCAAGCTGTGCACGACACGATGCTCTGCAGGGTCCCCTCTGCACACAGCACGGACAAAGGACGCTCGTTGCACCACACAAAGCACCTGGCAACACACGAAGCAGGACACCTCGCTGCTGGGCTCAAGGAGCTGTAAACCACCACCACCATCATCATCATCGCCACGCGAACTCCGCTCGTCATCCTCACAGCAGCAGCGGTGGCTTTTGACTCGGCCGTCGAACGAAGGCGGCGGTCGCCGGCAATCATCGTGCGGCGCTTTTGGATTGCGCTGCTTCTGCGGCCGTCTGGAACGCGCCCTTCCTTCCAATATTAGGAAGCCGCTGGGAGCTGTGGCACTTTTTAAATCATCATCTAGATTGACAAACTCATTTCTGTAGAAGTGCTTTTTGTGTATTTTCGTTTGTGGTCCTTCACACGGTTGGTGACTTAGGGTGCAAAAGAAGTTCAACATACAGTGAGGGAAAAAAGTATTTGATCCCCTGCTGATTTTGTACGTTTGCCCACTGACAAAGAAATGATCAGTCTATAATTTTAATGGTAGGTATATTTGAACAGTGAGAGACAGAACAACAACAAAAAAATCCGGAAAAACGCATGTCAAAAATGTTATAAATTGATTGGCATTTTAATGAGGGAAATAAGTATTTGACCCCCTCTAAACAAGAAAGATTTCTGGCTCCCAGGTGTCCTTTATACAGGTAACGAGCTGAGATTAGGAGCACACTCTTAAAGGGAGTGCTCCTAATCTCAGATTGTTACCTATATAAAAGACACCTGTCCACAGAAGCAATCAGATTCCAAACTCTCCACCATGGCCAAGACCAAAGAGCTCTCCAAGGATGTCAGGGACAAGATTGTAGACCTATACAAGGCTGGAATGGGCTACACGACCATTGCCAAGCAGCTTGGTGAGAAGGTAACAACAGTTGGTGCGATTATTCGCAAATAGAAGAAACACAAAAGAACTGTCAATCTCCCTCGGCCTGGGGCTCCATGCAAGATCTCACCTCGTGGAGTTGCAATGATCATGAGAACGGTGAGGAATCAGCCCAGAACTACACGAGAGGATCTTGTCAATGATCTCAAGGCAGCTGGGACCATAGTCACCAAGAAAACAATTGGTAACACTACGCCATGAAGGACTGAAATCCTGCAGCGCCCGCAAGGTCCCCCTGCTCAAGAAAGCACATATACATGCCCGTCTGAAGTTTGCCAATGAACATCTGAATGATTCAGAGGACAACTGGGTGAAAGTGTTGTGGTCAGATGAGACCAAAATGGAGTTCTTTGGCATCAACTCAACTCGCCGTGTTTGGAGGAGGAGGAATGCTGCCTATGACCCCAAGAACACCATCCCCACCGTCAAACATGGAGGTGGAAACATTATGCTTTGGGGGTGTTTTTCTGCTAAGGGAACAGGACAACTTGGCCGCATCAAAGGGACGATGGACGGGGCCATGTACTGTCAAATCTTGGGTGAGAACCTCCTTCCTGCAGCCAGGGCATTGAAAATGGGTTGTGGATGGGTATTCAACATGACAATGACCCAAAACACATGGCCAAGGTAACAAAGGAGTGGCTAAAGAAGCACATTAAGGTCCTGGAGTGGCCTAGCCAGTCTCCAGACCTTAATCCCATAGAAAATCTGTGGAGGGAGCTGAAGGTTCGAGTTGCCAAACGTCAGCCTCGAAACCTTAATGACTTGGAGAAGATCTGCAAAGAGGAGTGGGACAAAATCCCTCCTGAGATGTGTGCAAACCTGGTGGCCAACTACAAGAAACGTCTGACCTCTGTGATTGCCAACAAGAGTTTTGCCACCAGAGGGGTCAAATACTTATTTCCCTCATTAAAATGCAAATCAATTCATAACATTTTTGGCGTGCGTTTTTCTGGATTTTTGTTGTTGTTATTCTGTCTCTCACTGTTCAAATAAACCTACCATTAAAATTATAGACTGATCATTTCTTCGTCAGTGGGCAAACGTACAAAATCAGCAGGGGATCAAATGCTTTTTTCCCTCACTGTACATACATAAACTCACACAGAGAACCAGAGACTCACGCACAGAGACCCAGACTCACACAGAGACCCATAGTTTGTTGTCTTTCCCTCCCGCACCTCCGATTCACACGGTTGGCTACGTACGGTGCAAAAGAAGTTCAACATACATACAACATGGAGGTGCACTTCCCACCAACGTAGTAGCTCAATCAGGTTTTGCGGGGGGCAAGTGCTGCTATCGCGAAGCACCAACATTGTAACCATCGCGACCCTGACGCCTGCTGTATATTTGGAATCTGAGTGTCTCTCTCTCTCTCTCTCCCCCGTGGTCGAGCGGATTTTTACCTGGGTCCTCCGGTTTTTCCCCTCCACATTTAGAATCGACGTCACCACGCGTGTTAGTTATTTGGCTGCTGCTATAAATTTCCACACAACGACGACGATAAGCCGCCGCTTCGGTTGAGGCCATCATTTGTGATAGGCCAGGGTCGCGCTTCTGGCAAACTAGCTCTCGCAGTAGCTCAGTGCGGGGCCTTACCTGGTAAAAAGTAAAAATGAGTTTAGTTTGTTTTAAAGACAAAGTTCGCTACTGGGTGGCGGCGTTCGTCACCAACAGCGCCCCGTGCCAGGCTAGGTGCACTTTTGAGGACGTGTCAAAGGCCCCGCTGCGAGGTGCAGGAGGTCACGGGGAAACAGACCCTGGGTGTTATGGGTAACTAACTGGATGTGCCAGGCTGGGTGCAGGAGGTCACAGGGACACAGACCCTGGGTGTTATGGGTTAGTAACTGGTGTACCAGGCTAGGTGCAGGAGGTCACGGGGAAACAGACCCTGGGTGTTATGGGTTACTAACTGGATGTGCCAGGCTAGGTGCAGGAGGTCACAGGGATACAGACCCTGGGTGTTATGGGTTAGTAACTGGTGTGCCAGGCTAGGTGCAGGAGGTCACATGGACACAGACCCTGGGTGTTATGGGTTAGTAACTGGATGTGCTGGGCTAGGTGCAGGAGGTCACAGGGACACAGACCCTGGGTGTTATGGGTTAGTAACTGGTGTGCCAGGCTAGGTGCAGGAGGTCACGGAGACACAGACCACAAGTGTTATGGGTTAATAACTGGATGTGCTGGACTAGGTGCAGGAGGTCACGGAGACACAGACCACAAGTGTTATGGGTTAGAAACTGGATGTGCCAGGCGAGTTGCAGGAGGTCACAGGGACACAGACCCCTGGGTGTTATGGGTTAGTAACTGGATGTGCCAGGCGAGTTGCAGGAGGTCACAGGGACACAGACCCCTGGGTGTTATGGGTTAGTAACTGGTTGTGCCAGGCGAGTTGCAGGAGGTCACAGGGACACAGACCCCTGGGTGTTATGGTTTAGTAACTGGTGTGCCAGGCTATGTGCAGGAGGTCACGGAGACACAGACCACAAGTGTTATGGGTCAATAACTGGTGTGCCAGGCTAGGTGCAGGAGGTCACAGGGATGCAAACCCTGGGTGTTATGGTTTAGTAACTGGTGTGCCAGGCTAGGTGCAGGAGGTCACGGAGACACAGGCCACAAGTGTTATGGGTTAATAACTGGATGTGCTGGGCTAGGTGCAGGAGGTCACGGTGACAGAGCCCAGCTGCCGTGGGTGAACTGGTTGAGATGACCGGCAGATGCGCGCTGCCTGTGCGCGCCGATACGCCAACACTCATTCAAGGCCGCGTCCAGCTCGGGGAGGCTCACGACCGACTTAGTCGCCACCAGTGTCGGTGGCCGTGAGCGGGAATCGAACTCGGGTCGCGGGGGTCGGAGCGTAGCGTGCTATCCGCTGCAAGACAAAGATCTCCCCCTATAGGCTTCACAGACTGTTGGGGCAAGTGCTGTTTGCAAGCATCGACGAAAGGCCGGAACGGCACACGAGAGGGTGGGGGTGGCCAGCACGACGCCCGGCCGTGGCGATGTTTACTACGCACCGCGCACCAGGTACTCGTTTGAGGCTGAGTCGACCTAGGGGGGGGGGGGGGCCCATGACCGGTTCAGACAATCGTCACCGGTGGTGTTGGCCGTGAGCGGGAATCGAACTGGGGTCTCTGCCAAGTTTCGTAGCGCAGCGTAGCGCTAACCGCTGCACCACCACTCCGCGCACACACCACACCAACACGCACGTGCGCGCACACACAACACAACGAAGACACGCACGTGCACACACACACACACACGCAGGTGTCGACAAAGACACACACGTACGTGTGTACATACACACGTACGTGTGTACATACACACGTACGTGTGTACATACACACGTACGTGTGTACATACACACGTACGTGTGTACATACACACGTACGTGTACACACACACGCACGCGCGCGCGGCACGGCACGCACACGGGGCGACCTCAAGGACTCACGCCGCGAGCCAAATAAATCCATGAGCAAGGCAGTTTGCGCTTCCACCAAATCTCACCCCAAAAAAAATAAAATCCGCGCGAGATTCTCTTCTGTAGCGACTGCCAGCTGGGATCTAAGCCCCTCCTCCCCCCTTCCCTCAACAACGCCCCCCCACTCCCTCATGGCCACTTCCCTCAGCCCCCCCCCCGGCCCTCAAACCTCCCACCCACCCACCCCAGGGCGATTTCATGAGCTGCCCAGAAAGTTGTTTTGAAAGCGTAATACGTAAACATGTTGTTGTTTTCAGCAGCAGTTGTTGTGTTGTTGGTGGTGGTGGCAGTGGTGATGAGCAGCCTCAATTTGTAACTCCTCGCCGCCGCAAATCGCACCGTAGCCGCTCATCACTCGCATAAGCGGAGAGAGAGGGCGACTAGGAGAGAGAGGGCGACTAGGAGAGAGAGGGCGACTAGGAGAGCGAGGGCGACTAGGAGAGAGAGGGCGACTCAAGGAGAGAGAAAGGGCGACTCTCCCAAGTGGCAATGTTTACACATCGCACCAGGTACACATTTGAGGCCGAGTCGACCTAGAGGAGGCCCACGACCCGTTCAGATGATAATCGTCACTGGTGTTCGTGGCCGTGAGCGGGACTCGAACTCGGGTC